TACAGATGTGCTTGCTTGTGCGGTCTTTAAGGAGTCTGGACCACGGACCTTATTATGGGCCCTGGCCACGACAAGCTCCCAATCGCCCAAACACGAAACCGCCTAAAACCCTCAAGCACAAAAGCCATAAACTCCCTAAGCCCCAGCAAAAGCGGAAAGCCCCAAACACAAAAACTTGAAGCAAACCCTACATCATAGACGCCACTGCAGATCCCGTTAGCCCTCAACCCCAAAACCCGCAAGCCCTGAACCCCTAAAAGACCCGTATAGACTGCACAGCCCGGCGACCTGTTGCAGGCCAACATCTGCCCGGCATGGTCCGGTTGCAGCCATCGGGCTGTACTCCTGCGATGACTTGAGTTCCTCCTTGAGTTATTTGGATGGTTGTCAACATTAGGGTCCCTTTTTGGGTCCTTATCATAATACGGCACCCAATACTTAGGGTACACCAAAAAGGAACCCTAATTTTGACAACCCTCCATCTGGGGTTGTCGGGTTTTGGCTCGAGGGGCTCCAGGGGGCTTATAGAGGCTATTGGGGCTTCGGGTTGCCTAAAGCAAATCGTACCCAGAGGGTCCATATACACTACTATTATGGCATTAGGTGCCCCAAAACCATAATGGGGGATGGTCTTTTAGGTCCTAATTCCATAATGGTAGTGTATATGGACCCTCTGGGGTATATTATAATCTGGCCGTATAGAATAAGACACAACATGGTGCAGTGTTGTACTTACCGGTGTATCTGTATGTGTAATATCTATGTAAAATACATACTTTATCATTATAACAAAAAGCCATTATAGCATAGTCTATCGCATTATCGAAAATTAACTCTTTGAAGCCCATGCCCCACGTCCTGGGAGTTTTCGGAATTGTACTGCCTGTCACGCGGACGCGCGCAGGATCAGTCGAAGCAGGGCAGGGGCAGTTGCTGCTGTTGTTCGTCGATGGCTAGACATGAATTTCGAAGACAACCCATTTCGCAGACTTTCTGGGAGAGAAGACTGGGCGGGGAGGTTCTTAAAGTTAGGGGCAACTCATGGTCCCTCTCCAGGGCTCTTGAACCCTTGGCAGTAAGGCCCAAATGCTCGGAGCCAGATTGGGAAACTTCGGCTGCAGAGCCCCGCAAGGCGCCTCTCAAACTCTCAAACTCCAAAGAACGCGAGACAATCAAACGAATCGGAATCAGAATAGGGTTTTTTGGCTCCTTTATAGGTTATAATATAAGGAGCCCTACGGAATAATCTTCGTAAGTATGGTAGGCTTCTTTAGTAGCAATAAATCCGCAAATGCCAGGCTCCAAGCCTTCAAGCTGCCCGAAGGACCTAACCCTAAGGGTCCCAGTACCCAATTATGGTATACTCTCCGAAATAGTACGCTACATAACTACTATCCTAAACCGAGTACCTATAATTATTGGGTCCTTTGGACCCTTAGGATAAAGCCTTAAAGCTTGGACACTGAATCCTACTTGGAGGCTCATGGGGAGTTATAAGTAGGGTTATGAGTCCCCTAATAAGAGTTATAACTATAGTTACCCCTACTAACAACCCTACTTATAACTTCCTATGAGCCTCCAAGTACGTTCCTGAAGCCTGTTTTTAAACAAAGCACCTGTGGAACAGGGCCTAGCTGTTCAGTGCTTCGAATCGGGAATCGTTTTGGGTTTGGAGTTTTGGCCGGGGCTTCGGGGTTCAGGGCTTTCGGGTTTGGCTTCTTACGGGTTTAGGACAGGGGCCAGAGCAAGTGGCTACAAAGTTGTCTAAGAATACCTGACGGCAGGATCCTAGATCCAAAAACACCTAAACACTCCGCCCAAGACAGTTACATTCTAAACTGTGGAGCCCTAAACCCTGAAAGCCCTAAAGCCTCCGACCCTGAACCATGAAACACCTAACTTAAAACTTGAAACCGTAAGCAATGAAAACCGAAGTTAACCACTTGGAACATAGTTGTTGCTGTTCCCCCTCCTCCTCTTCCTCCTCCTACTACGATCACGGCTGTGACAACGACGACTGCGACGACGACGACGACTACGACGACTACTACTACTGGTAGTGAGCCTATTAGTGTTCTTATTGCCATTTCTCGATTATGACCTCTGTTAACTTGCTAGTGTTATTATCGCAGTTGTTGGTGTTATTACTAGCCTTCTCATGAAACTGTTAAGACACTCTCTGAGGCCGCCGACTGGACTGGCATATCCATGGTGGGGCCGTTCATCCCTCAGGCTGTGGCTTTGGGCTACTTTGCTTAAGATGGGAGTTTACGAAAATTCGGGTATCCTTATTTTGGGGTCCTCATAATAACATGACCAGGATCCTACTATTGAGGTACTATTTTAAGGTCCCTGAGTCTAGGGTTTGTGGCCCAGTATACGGGAGTCTATCAGTGATGTGCAGGGTTCAGCTGGGGTTTACGGCTTAGCTTTCTGACTCGGGTTCACACTGTTACCGTTTTTGCAAACTGGGCTCCCTTGAATGTGCCTATTCCAAGGCGAGTCTTGCCGAAAGGGCTCCGAGAAGGAAACTAGTTGAGAACAAGCTTCAGCAGCATCTAAGGATTTGGGCTTCGATCTTGAAACGTGCGGGTTGACTGAACCCTGACCCTCTGTCCTTGTGACTCAAGCCCGCAGCCAGCGGGAAGGTGCAGGTAATGTAGAGGTGACCAGGTCTGAACACTTAGCCTTGATGACAGTCCCCAATACCACAGCATACCGTCCAACCAAACTCCATTTGACTTATTGAGGCCCGTATGTCTTGTGGAACCTCTGTCAAGTCTAAAAACAGCTATGCAATTCCGCCGATGCCCGAAATGACTCAATCTGTGTGGAATCATATGGGGAGGGGATGCCACAACGAGGGGATGCTTTTATATACACATTATTCAAACCTCGAAACTGGCTGCGTCGGGGCTGCTTTCTGATTTCTAGCATTGCAGGTGGGAAGGCAGGTCCGGGAAACCCGAAGCTTTGCAAGCTGTAGGCATTAGGAGCAGAAGCTTGGGATTTCAGAAACCTAGGCCGTGATACACTGAGGCTTCTATGGTATACAAGTGGTAGCCTACTCTGGGGTCTATGGCCTACAAGTACTGCCTAGTTCCGGCCACATCCTTAGGAACACCGCATGGTGCCCTTGTCCCCCTACAGCGCAGTACTCGAAATCAGGCTTAGAGGTGAGCGCTTTCCGTCGGGGACAAGCTCCAGAACCCAAAACCCTGAATCCCATCCCTTGGGCTCCAGATACCAAAGTAGTACTTGAAGGATCATGGGACTGAGTAACGAGGGTTATAATTGGGGTAACTATATACTTATAACCACAATTAGGGTACGTATAACCTTACTTACTAAGTCCCATGATCCTCCAAGTAGAGCAGTGCTAGATCCCACGACAGTCCAAAACCCTATTATCTCGAACTTGGGTCTGAAACTTGTGGACCTTTTTCAGGCTCCTAAACCATCACCACCAAACCCGAAGCGGCTGCATCCTGAAATCCCGGAGCCCGAAACACGCAAGTACCCTAAAATCCAAACACCTAACACCCTTAAACAACACCCGAACACCATTAAAATTTGCAAACCCTATAAACCCGACAAGCCCTATTACACCCTGTAAAACCCTGGAAGCCTTAGCCCCGGCGGGCCTGTATGCTGCATAAGGTAGGGCTCGTAGCCTGACCAGTCAGGGTTCCAGGTTTTGGGTGTACGGCTCAGGGGTACATTTATGAGGCTATCAGGGCTTTTAGAATTCCGTAGAGGGGCCTGCAGGAGCCCTTTCATTGCATGGGTTCAGGTTTTGGGGAGCTCTGTGGCCTGGAGCGTAGGGTTCAATCTTTGAGATTTCGGACTCCGCCCGAAATCGGACTTGCAATGATCCAGGATTCGGTATTCCACCTGGCAATCAGTCAACCTCGCCATACTTACACCGGTAGCATAGCATCGAACTTTGCTTCAGAGAAGCGATATTTCAATGCTTATTATAACTTGGAGACCGTAGCAGCTAGGAGAGGCAGTTTTCGAAAGGGGAGCGGGTATGTTCTAGTATTCATATTGAGAGCCGTAGCGGAGTATGGAAAGACAGTATGCTAGACTCCAAGCCCATGACGCAAGGCAACAGATCACTAAAGCCTTACCACCCCAGACTCGAAGAGAGCACCGAGGTTACCTGCTCCCGAGCATAAGCAGTATATTACGGATCCGGTGCTGAACCGCAAAGCTTGCGGAAGTTTCCCACTGCTTAACCATGAAGCAAGAGCCTGTGCACTCCACGTGATTTGAACGGCGGATGACAATGGGTGCGGGCAGACGATGCGAGGATCTTCAGCGCCAGTTTGCATCGTGCGAGTTCTGATCATAGGCTATCGAAAATGAATCTAATATGGGGGCCTTAATAATTAGAATAGGGTTTTGGGGGCCCATTATACTATAATCACAGTAAAGAACCCCCTCAAAAAAGTAGTATCAGGCAATTATCTAGGCCCCTATATTATCTGAAGGAATCACTGATGGCAGCTGGAGATCCTTAGACACCTTCTGTCTGGTGCTTAGTAGGGAATGGGGGAATGGCTCCTTACCAAGAAGGGTTCCTTTGCGGGATCTATAAGGGCACTATACGGGTACTCTACAGGGTCTATAAGGGTTTAGGGTTTTGGGGGAATGGATCCCCATAGAAGTCCCTATATTATATAATCCCCAATAATAGCCTCCATAATCCACTCCCCCATTCCCTACTAAGAAACAGACTTCTTCATAACATCCAGACCTTCAGCGTTAAAACTTCGAAGGACTTCTTTGGACTGGTCTGGGAAGCGATCTTGTAAGCTGAGGCTCCCTGCATCAGATAGAGTTGATTCACCAGAGATTCCGGCCCTAAACCATAGTCCCTTAACCCTGGTGATGCGTGTTTTAAGAATGCGTGCCTGCGACCCTGACCCTACAACGTGGCTCAAATTTACAAGATTCCTCCCCCTTGTGGAACTGAAACAAAACCTGTCGCTTGCTCAGAGCTTGAACTTCTTCATGACCTTGGCGGGCTGTGGGCTTCAGTCTTGACTGCAAGCATCTTTCGTCACAGTATTCCTACTCTGACATTCAGCTTCAAACCCTCCCGCCACCACTGCCATTTTCAGCGTTTCATCACCCTGAGTTCTAAGCCCTAAGCGCAAGTCCTGAACCGTCAACCTCAGCATGTGGGGAGTTCTCTAAATTAGCATTCCTCTTTAGGCCCCATAAAATGCTACGGCACCCTTATGCAAAGGACAAAAAAAGGGTGGGACTTGGCCGGCATTTTGTCTGGAATTAGGCCAGCGAAACTTAAGCTTTGCTCTGGCAGCGCCACCTTCAAGAGTACGATGTGGTTCTATATTGGGGTTCCCTTTAAAGGAACCGCCGTTTAGGGTTTAGGGTTGCGGGGCCTGAGTCGGCTACTGTAAGGCTTACTATACGGGTCACTCTACTAGGGTACTACAGGAACCCCTTTAGTAACGGTTATCGTGATCCTTATGCCAACAGTAAATCATAGTAGTCAGTAGCCGTTTTCGTGATTGCTATGACAACCCGTATAGTACTCCTTACAGCAATGCAAGCAGGAATTGTTGCTGCAATTTCCACTGTGCGCCTTAAGGAGTTCTTGCGGTAGTTCTCGAGTAATCTTTATAGTAACCATTATAGTTACCTTAATAAGATTCTTAACACCAAGCCTTCTAGCTATCCAAAACGCTACACTGTTCGCAAACCTCAAATTCCTAACGAGTTGGAACCTTTCTAGGATGTGCAGTTTTAGATGAAGCTCTGTGTATGACATCTCCAATGATAGTAGAACCGTCATAGATCCCTCAAAGTGCTCTTATATTTAAATTTAGTTAGTAGGAAGGGTCACAATACAGATCACGATAAGGATTACAGAAGTATACATTGCAACCATAAACTCGGCTTTGAGGTAACCGGGGAAAACATAGACTCTTATCTCAAAACGACAGCTTCCGAAAATAGGGGACCCTAATATAGTACCCTAAATAGTAGCATCCTTATTATAAGGACTCCAAAATAGGGTACCCCTAGTCTTCGGAAACTCCCAAATGGTTCCTCTCCGGAGCTCGCTGAGGAGACAGGGTTTAGGGATCAGGGCTTTGAACTGCGCTTGGCACTGGGCTGCACTGGTGATTTCCATCTGCTTTCTTCTCACCTGCGCAGAATGAATGAGGCTTTGGCTAGCATCTGCAACAGAGCCGACTCGGAATTCAGACAAGACGTGTGTCGACCAATGAAGGTTGACTACAGCTTGGTCATCGAACTAACCGTAAGGACCACTTAGGCGGAGCCATTGGGCTTGACGTTTCGGGCTTAGCGGTCATAAACGTTCAAGGCACCGAAATCACGAGATCGTGATGTGCTTGTGTCGTACATGGATCCTCCAGATTCTGCAAGCTTACACCGCAGTGGCGGATCTCCAAGCCCAAGAGCAAAACTAGCAGGAAATACCACCGCCACATGCCGCTCAGAATGTGAACTGACCTTTAGGATTAACTCCCAAACCCTGAACGACTACAAGGCCTAAACCCGAAACCCTAAACCCCCTAAACCCCCTAAACCCTAAACCCCCTAAAGCCTAAACCCTAAACCCCCTAAACCCTAAACCCTAAACCCCCTAAAGCCTAAACCCTAAGCCCGAAGCTCTTAACTGTGAACCCATTGCCTACATGTAGCTATAGGCGATGCACCCAGCGATCCACATCCAATGCTCGCCTCGGGAGCTTCCGAAGCCCTGAGCCCTAAACCAAAAACCCTAAACCCTAATCCCTAAACCCTAAACCCTAAACTCTAAACCCTAAACCCTCAACTCTAAACCCTAAACTCTAAACCCTAAAACCCTAAACTCTAAACCCTAAACCCTAAACTCTAAACCCCAAACTCTAAACCCTAAACCCTAAACTCTAAACCCTAAACCCTAAACTCTAAACCCTAAACCCTCAACTCTAAACCCTAAATTCTAAACCCTAAAACCCTAAACCCTAAACCCTAAACTCTAAACCCTAAACCCTAAACTCTAAACCCTAAAACCCTAAACTCTAAACCCTAAATTCTAAACCCTAAAACCCTAAACTCTAAACCCTAAACCCTAAACTCTAAACCCTAAACCCTAAACTCTAAACCCTAAACCCTCAACTCTAAACCCTAAATTCTAAACCCTAAAACCCTAAACCCTAAACCCTAAATTCTAAACCCTAAAACCCTAAACCCTAAACCCTAAACCCTAAACTCTAAACCCTAAACCCTCAACTCTAAACCCTAAATTCTAACACTAAAACCTAAACCCTAAACCCAAACCCGAAACTCTAAACACTAACCATTCAACTCTTAAACCCTAAATTCCAAAACCCTAAAACCCGTAAACCTAAACCCTAAACCCTCTAAAAACTTAACCCTTTAACCTAACTCCAACCCTAATTCTAAACCTAAAACCCTAAAACCCTAAACCTAAACCCTCAACTCAACCCTAAACCCCTCAACTTCTAAACCCTAAATTCAAACCCTAAATAACCCTAAACCCTAAACCCTAAACCCTTAAAACTCTAAACCTAATACTCCAACTCCTAACCCCTAAATTTTCTAAACCCTTTAAAACCCTAAACCCCAACCCTAAACCCTAAACCCTCAAACTCTAAACCCTTAAACCTCAACTCTAAACCCTAATTCTAAACCCTAAAACCCTAACCCTAAACCCTAAAAACCATAAACTCTAAACCTAACCCTTCAAACTCTAAACCCGAAAACTCTAAAACCCTCAAACCCAAACTCTAAACCCTAAAACCCTAAACCCTAAACCCTAAACCCTAAACTCTAAACCCTAAACCCTCAACTCTAAACCCTAAACTCTAAACCCTAAAACCCTAAACTCTAAACCCTAAAACCCTAAACTCTAAACCCCAAACTCTAAAGCCTAAACCCTAAACTCTAAACCCTAAACCCTAAACTCTAAACCCTAAACCCTCAACTCTAAACCCTAAATTCTAAACCCTAAAACCCTAAACCCTAAACCCTAAACCCTAAACTCTAAACCCTAAACCCTCAACCCTAAACCCTAAATTCTAAACCCTAAAACCCTAAACCCTAAACCCTAAACCCTAAACTCTAAACCCTAAACCCTCAACTCTAAACCCTAAATTCTAAACCCTAAAACCCTAAACCCCTAAACCCAAAACCCTAAACTCTAAACCCTAAACCCCAACTCTAAACCCTAAATTTAAACCCCTAAACACCTAACCTAAACCCTAAACCCTAAACCTCTAAACCCTAAACCCTCAACTCAAAACCCTAAATTTTAAACACTTTAAAACCCTAAACCCTAAACCCTAAACCTAAACTCTAAACCCTAAAACCCTCAACTCTAAAACCCTAAATTTTCTACACCCTAAAACCCTAAACCCTAAACCATAAACCCTAAAATCGAAAACCCTAAACCTTCAAACTCTAAACCCTAAATTTTCTAAAACCCTAAAACCCTAAACCCTAAACCCTAAACCCTAAAACTCTAACCTAAAACCCTCAACTCAAACCCTAAAAGTCTAAACCCTAAAACCCTAAACCCTAAACCATAAAAACATAAACTCTAACCCCCTAAACCTCAAACTTCTCTAAACCCTAAAATTTCTAAACCCTAAAACCCTAAACCCTAAACCCTAAACCCTAAACTCTAAACCCTAAACCCTCAACCCTAAACCCTAAATTCTAAACCCTAAAACCCTAAACCCTAAACCCTAAACCCTAAACTCTAAACCCTAAACCCTCAACTCTAAACCCTAAATTCTAAACCCTAAAACCCTAAACCCTAAACCCTAAAACCCTAAACTCTAAACCCTGAGCCGCAAACTTCGGGTTGAAGGTTTCAGGTTCCGGGTCTCTTACCTTTGGTTAGTAGTGCATGGAAGAATGGTAGTAATAGAAATTATATGGTAGTTATATGGTAATAATATGGTAGTGATATGATAGTTCATGATAGTAATACTAGCTATAACTGTACCCCATTCCTCCATTCCCTACTAACCAAAGGTAGGGTTTAGGGCACCTTGAGCCCTAAACCCGCCCTGAACCCAACCCAAAACCCCAAACTGAACCCTAGACCCACAACCCTGGACCCTATAGACCCAAAACCCGCCTCAGGGTCTTCCTTGGTGAACCTGCCGACGGCCTCTTTCATCTGGGCTATGCCAGAAGCCTGCTGCCACTGCACTCTAGGGGCCTTAATGTAGGGACGTTACAAATAGACTAGGGTTCCCTTAAAGGGTTCCTTTGAAAGGGTGTCTATAAGGGTTTATAGGGTTCCTTTAAAGCGTTTGTTTAAAAGGTGTCTTTCCTTCAAGGGTCCCTGTAAGGGATACCATGATAAGGGCACCATAAGGGCGTTACGCAGGGGCCATTAGAATGGGGTTTTGGGGGTTCCTATCATAATTATAGTAGTTGTAACATACCACCAAACCCTAAACTAAATATGGCCCCTAATTCAAGTACCGCACACTGGGTTTCAAGAAGGCCTCCGGTGAGGTGCAGTTCAGCGCTTCTTGAAGGGCTCCGTAGGGCACTGCAGGATTCAGGGTTGAACTACGTAGGGGCTTGGACGACTGCACGGGAAACCAGCCCGGATGCGTGTGGCTGGAAGCGGACTCACGAATGAAGAAACTGAGCGGTTATGGCCGAAACAGGCTGATCAAGTAGAGATCCGAATGATTCGTAATAGTATCCCTTCACAGTCCCTACGAAGGTTTATTAAAGTGCAAGCAACCCGATTCAAGCAATCGAGGCCCCGCTGCTACAGTACTCCCTCATCGAGGCTCTAAGCCCCTCATCTCGCGGAGCTTGGATGGTGGGGTTTAGGGTTTCAGCTTTTTGTTTGAGCTCCTTTTTGTGCCTGCCCGTCTGGTTGAGCTAACATAAGGGTTTAGGGGTTTTGGGTCTAGGATTTCGGGTTTAGGGTGTTTCATCCTTAGTTTTTAGTGCAAGCCAGCGAAGTCAGTGCGTTCGCAGGGGAAATGAAACTGACTTTCTCATAGTCGTCGTCGTCACCACCATCACCAATCACCATCATCCTCAACATCGTCGCCAACATGATCACCATGATCATTATCGCAATCACCATGATGCTCATCATGCTCATCCTCATCATGGCCAAAATACTGATCTGAAGACATCACATAATACTCCAAAGTGACATTTATAAACCCTTATAGTCATCCTGGTCGTCGTCACCATGGCTACCAACAACGTTGCAACATGAACTTCTGACTTTCCCCTATTTCCCATTGTCAAGTGCTATTCTCAACACAGACTCCTCATTTTCTTCGACGAGCTATCATACACCCCCCCCCCCACTGTCAACCAAAAAAAACCATAATTCCACTCCCTGAGGAGTTGCCGAAAATTAGGGGCACCTTATTTAGGGGTCCCCATAATAAGGATCCTACTATTTAGGGTACTATCTTAGGGTCCCCTATTATCGGAAACTCTCATATGCATGCCAATAACCTCATTTTATGCTTTGAGGCCGAAACACCCTTCCCGAGCCCCCCACGTCTGCCCGGAAGCCGTACTTCGGCCTGGGGTGGAGCGAGACTCTAGTCCGATACGCTCGAATTTAGGGAGTTGGTAGCGCAAGTTTATACGGTCTAGGGGTTACGGTTCATCACGTAACGACCCAAATAAATAGAAGAATCACACCAGCCACAAGAAGAGTCTCTCTGCATCTTAGGTTTCGGTTTTCAGAGCATGCTCTGAGCTCCAACATCGACCAAAAGGAGAAGTCAGCTCGGATGTACTGAAAGTTTACCACAAGGCCATACAATCCACTGCACTGCAAGATACCGTTGTCTCGAGCAAGTGTGATAAAACGAGGTGCAGTCAAGAAAGTTCGCAGCTTCGGGGCTTTGAACCTGACCCTAACGCTGTTCCAGCTGGTGGAGTAGAGGGGTGGGTGAAGGGGCACTGCGTTTGCTGTGGTGCTATACACCTACTGGGATCCAGTTCGGAGCAAGCCGCTTCTGTGATGCAAGGTCCCTGTGCCCTGGAATTCGTAGAAATCCTTGGGGTTTGCTCCGGATGCCGAAACCGTCATGGAAGCTAGGGCGGATGGGTTAGGCTACTTACGGTAGGGTTTTGGGGGTATATTACATTATAAATATCGGTGGTTGTCAAAATTATGGTCCCTTTTTGGGTACCCTAAATATGAGGTGCCGTATTATAATAAGAACCCAAAAAGGGACGCTAAGTTTGACAACCACCCGTATAACAAGGACGCACCCCCCCCCCCCCTCATCTTCGATCTCGGAGCCTTTACAGCCTGCTGGAGGCTACTAAACTATTTATAGGGGCCTAAATAATTTCCTGATACTATGTTGCGTTTCCTTAATATAATGTAATATAATGGGCCCCAAAACACTATGCTGATTATTATTAAGGCCCCTGTATTACAATCGCTCCTTCCCAGTCTAAGACCTGGGATGTAAGGGTATCTTGTGGCACCGTACAACGAGCCCTAAAGAATAAGATTAGTTAAATTTCAGGCCACTCTGCTGGGAACCTGAAGGCATGGATCAAGCTGGCCGGCTGGGGCAGTGGCAGTATTCTGTTCAAAGCCCGCTCTTGGCACAGGGCCTGCTTGCAGAGGGCTTTGTGGGTTAGGGCAATGCTTCCCAAGTAATATTCGGATCTGAATAAAAAAGGCTTTGGGCGTACCTTGCAGTATCTTTAACTCCCCTGACCCAACATTTGAAAATCTGCTTCGTACATGAACTGAAAGCCTCAGCAACTAGCAAACTGTACAGAGAGAAGTACGTTCATTTGTGTCCATGACTTGCCGTACCTTTGCTACTGATGTTGATCTTCTTACTCCGGGTTTTCAACACCCTTCATCGTGAACTACCCAAAACCCCCAAACTACAAAACCTACAGAACCCTCTTAAAACCCTGACGACCCTGAAGACACTCTACACTTTGACACTCCATATCAACCCCTGTCAGAGCCCTGTAAATCTCCATCCCTAAACCCCTAAACCCTAAATCTACACTCTAAACACCAACACCTAAACCCCTAACCCCTGAACCCTTCAATAACAACCGATGTTGTTTTCTAGCACTTGCCTCGATGCTCTGCATCTTCTGCTCGAGAGGCATCTTGGAATCTCGGCTCGGGGGGCTTCGCCGGGAGAGCTCGAAGCCCTCAAATAAATTATCAGGGTTTAGGGATGTAGGAGTGAGGGTTGGCGGTTTAGGTTCGAGGCTTTTGCTATACTCAAAGTGAAGGATGAAGGGTTTGAGGCTTTGGCATTTGAGGGTTGAGCAAAGAATTATGGCTGTAGGGTTGTAGCATTGAGGGTCAAGACAAAAGATTGCGGGTTAGAGTGGGCTCTCGAAAATAAAATATCAAAACCCCGAAGCCCTAAACCCTTAAAACCGGAAATTGCCAAACATTCGACTAAAACGCGCACAGAAATTAGATCGTCGGGCCGACATCCGTGGAGCCAACCGCAACTAAAATCGTGGGCGTGGTTTCGGATAAAAGATTTAAGTCATTGGTCAGGTTCCGGAATCTTATCTTCGGGGTTTAGGATGGAAGTCCTGGGGCTCTAAGGTCATTTTGGTGTCAGGCTTTTCTCATACTGGGGTTTTAAGGAACCAGGGAGAAAGAAGTACAAACTTGTATTTCATAATGATTCCTTCAAGCAAAAGTGTTAAAGTATGGTACAGTACTCCAGAACTGAGCATACTTCCAGGAAAAGTAGGAGCCTGCTTGCCATGACGCCGTTGCACGCTAGTGACTGCCAGTGCCTCGAAACCCGAAGTCCTGAAGGTTTAGGGTTTCGGGTTCCCTGAACCCCTGCCTCTGGATTCCCAGCTTGCATTCACCTCCTCACAGGCAACCTGGCCGCACATGGTGTTGATGCACTCTCAGGAACAGCTGGGACAACAGGGATTCCGCCACCCACCCCTAACAATCCTAAACCCTAAACACTTATACCCTAAAGCCCGAAACACTTATACCCAAAGCCTTTAGCAGCCCTTACATAACTCAACACCCCTTTACCCCAAACTCTACAACCGAACCTCATCCTCTATACTTTAACCCTAAGACTCCAAATAGCCCAAAGTAAGTACTATTCGAAGGTTTTTTACCCCAGCATAGGCATCATTTACATGCTTGGAGTCGTACCCGAAGGGTCCAAAGGACCCAACAATTAGGTAATCGGTTTTAGGGTAGCAGATATGTAGGTTAGAATTTTGGAGAGTCTTCGATTTTCAGGTACTTGGACCCTTGGAGTCTTACCTACAGTCTCCATTGTAGTTCCTTTTTTTGGCATAACCAACTTCATATTGAGGATCCTCTCAGGTAACCCAAAAAGGAACTACAATGGAGACTACAGGTAGGGTAAAGCTTAGGGGGTTAGGGCTCCTTTTAAGGGTACTATGGCATCCCTAAAACATAAACCCTAAACCCGTGTTACTCTGGGGTTCTACAACAGGGCTCCTTTTCCAGACCCTTGGAGTCTTAGGGTAAAGCTCGAAACTGTTTTCATCTTCTCCCGTCGCGCCTGGAAGCTCGGCTCCTCCGAAGGTCGAGCTTACTCGAAGGATCAGGGAGATTTTTATTCTATATATAATACAATATTCATTATATAATCTACAGTGATATATATATATATATATATATATATATAAATAAACATTTGTATATGTATATATATACATATATTTATATACTTATATATACATACATATTTATATATACATATATACAACTCATAACTGCCCCCCTTGGGCTTGATTAGGGTTTGGGTTTATGTTCACATCGGGTTTTTAGGGTTTGGGGATTCTGAGGTTCAGGATTTTGTCAGCTCCTCTTTGAGGCTTGGGGTTTGGGGCTTAGGAGTTTAGGGTTTAGGAAGTAAGTAGCGTCATAGGTAAGGCAGCACTTACATCTGGTCACTATACCCACCGAGTAAAGCGGCTACAACCCCACGTAGCACGTCTCCTGATTTTTCCAGGTGGGGCTTTCTGGAGTTTCTTCTGAGGGAGTTCTACATGGTTTAAGACTTTCTTCGAGGCTTTGGATGGCTTTGTGGTTTAGCGCTTTGTCCTACTCTCTCCGCCCAACATGCAGATGATTCGGCGATTGGGGTTCCAATGGCAGGTCGCTCCAAGCATAAGGCGGTTCATGAGTTTCCGGGCACCTGCAACGGAAAAGGATCACCAGATTCAACTACCAATTTTTCGAGAGAAATGCTGCGACGAATGCTCGAAGGCCGGGAAAGGTAGTGCAGGCATATTTCCTGAATGTAAACACTGAACCCTAAACCCCTAAACACCAAGCCCTGAAAACTAAACTTTAAACCCCTAACAACCCTAAACCCAGAAGCTCATCTTGTCTCAGAAACGCCAGCCTGGTAAGCTGCAAGAATCTCCGACTGGATGGCCAGTGCGGTCCTAGACAGCTGCGGCCGGGCGAAGGTTTCAGTTCGATGTTCGGTCAGGAGTTCTGAAATGAAGCAGAGTCGTGGCAGCCGCGCAATGATATTGTTTCTTGCTGCTAGCGACCTGCGTTATCACCATATTTATGTATGTTTGCACAAGCACATATGTATATGTGTATACATATACATATATATATATATGTGTGTGTGTGTGTGTATGTATCCATCCATCCATCCATCCATCCATCCAGCCAGCCATCCGCATACATACATATCAGCTGTGCGCTACTGTTCTATGGTTGTAGTAAGTTATACCCATTTGGGAACGGTACCTCGGGGAGTCTGTGCCTGGCAGCTTGTCGCAACTCTGGCTTTTGGTGCCAGAGCCTCGAACTGCTCCAGACGGTGCTCTTGCGTGCTCATATGAGGACCGCGGCTGTGCAAGAAGCCACGGTCCTAGCATTAACACGCAGGGCCCTCTCTCACGTGACCGCGATGCAGCTGCTGTCGCTGCTCCTATCCTTGCAAGGGAACATACGCGGCCATGCCAACTCTGACTCGCTGCCGAAAATCCTGAAGCACAGGATCTTAGACCCTGCACCTCGAAAGCGTGGAACACCTGAACGACCTCATGTTTGCAGCGTTCCGGGCTTACGGCCTCATTTATCACTTCCCCCAAGCGCTCCAACCCCAGGAACCTGCAATCCCAAACCCATGCCCGGCTTTGCGGTGAAGAGCATGCGCAGCTGCCAGTTGTAGCGCCACTCAGCCTCGTTCGAGAGCTTGCTGGGTTTATTGAGTTGGTTGTTCCATGGGGCATAACGGGCTTACAGCCGAGGAGCTACGGGTCCAAGATGCACAGCAGCAGAGAGCAGCAACGAAAATCAAGCCCGAAGCGCTCAAGCAGCTTGGCACCACACCGTCCAATACTAACCCTCATATTTGCGGTTACAATACCCCAAAAGTATCCCTCTCGCAAGCCCTAAGCCCTAATCCCCAAACCCCAACACCTAAACCCTGGGCCCTTAACCCTGAACTCCTCGCTGGACCTATCCTAAACGCCAAACTCTACACTCCCCCAAACTCCGAAAGCTTTCCGCTGACGGCCAAGCAGTCTCGACTCTGAGAAGGAAGCATTTATCTTAGGGGGCCTTCATAGTTGGAAAAGAGTCTTATAACGAACCCTAGGGAATATAATATTAGGTAGTTGATTAGGATGTAGGCTTTTAAATCAGGGCTTCCGGTAGAGCTTGGAGTCTCAGTGGGAAAGTCCCTAAACAAGAAATGCCCTATAGGCCCTAAACACTGAACAGAAAGCCCCAAACCCCAACCTTAAGCCCTAAACGCTCAACCCACCAAAAAGCCCCCACCCGCCCTAGACCTTGTGGGCCCTAACTGGACCCCAACAGTATGTAGGAAAATAGCATTTTACACGTTTTTGTGACATTATTTTGCCTACTCTGGGGAGTCTAAACCCTATATACCCTAAAATCCTAGGTTCAGGTTAAGGGAAGCTTGAAGGGAATGTTGTGGGCCATGATTTTACCGTACCTTTGGGGGGTCAAGGACCCTAAACCCTCAACCCTACCCCCCTACTTAAAGGATCTTTGGACTTAGTAAGTAGGTTATAGTTGGGGTTATAACTTCCCTAAGTGGGGTTATCCTAACTATAACCGACTTATAGCTTTACTTGCTAAGTCCCATGAGCCTTTAAGTAAACATAGCTTACTTATAACTGTACTTACTAAGTCCCATGAGCCTTTAAGTAAACCCTCGGCCTCAACCCTAAAGCACTGCAGCCTTTTTTAGGGTTCCCCATTATGATCTCTTTATGTAACTCCTTTAAAATAGTAGGTTATTTGGGGCTAAGGTTAACCCTAAACCCAGAGACTCCAACATCCCTTAATTAAGGAATATTCCTTAAATCATAAAAGGGGTCCTATTACAATTTGAGGAATATTCCTTAATTAAGGGATCTTGGAGTCTCTGGGGAGCACTGCAGCCCAACCCTACACCCTAAACCCTAAAGCACTGCAGCCCCAAAACTGCGCACCTTCGTCAACTCGGTCTTCTTCTCCGCGGCGGCCTCAGCCTGCTGAAGGCACGGCCCGAAGCAAAAGACCGGAACAGCCAAAGATAGTCTACCTAGAGGCTCCATAGTAGTTCCTTTTGAGGGCTCATAGTTAGAATCCTATATGGTAATCCGAAAAAGGAACTACGATGGAGCCTTAGGGTAGGGGCCTTGGTAATTAGACTAGGGCTTGGGGCCCATTATAGTAGCATTGTAATAATAGGCTTATGGTTTAAAAGTTTATAAGGGCTACTAACATAGGAATTTAAAAAATAGAACAGGGTTTTGGGGCCCATTATAGTACCATTATAAGTGATTATTCAGGCCCCTATAGTAGGGTCTTGGGTTTATGGTTTAGGGTCTTGGGTTTAGGGTTTTTGGGTTTACAGTATAGGGGTCCAGGCTTTAGGGTTTTGGGATTTAGGGTTATTGGGCTTAGGGCCTCATGGTTCACTGAAAGAAGGATGGATTGTGAAGGGAATTAGGAGGGTGTAGGGCCAGGGTTGCAATGCTCAGGTTTTACAGGGATTCATTCTGCATTCTGACAGATTTTAATGGTTCGATGCGGCTTGCTTCAAGGGAAACATAGGGGCCTGAATGTTTGGAACAAGACTTGCTAGGGTTGCTCAGAGGATACTTGATAGGGTTCCAAGAGGGCACTACAGTGTCTAATGGGTGTGCAGGCCTTAGACTCGGAACGGATCCACCCAACACTGAAACTCTTGCCTGAACAAAAAGCTATGGTTTCGGTTTAGGGTCTTCAACGAGGTCCCTAATGCCATTGGGTTCTTTACCATGGTTGAAAACGAGCATAGGGTGCATTATGGTTTTCTTGGAGGGAGTTCCTAACAACTGTGAGTAGGGATGCCTTCCAGCACACAGGCCGTGCTCTTTAATTAACACTGACACGGGATCCCTAATGGCATCACGGGCTCCATATGTGATTTAAACGTGGATCCGTAATATTATACAGTTCCTTCTGTCTCGAGTTTTAAACAGGGGCTTCGAAGTTGTACGGCTCGATGTAGGGACTGCAAGCTATCGGTCGCTTGTAGTTCATTGAACTCTAAAATCCAAGTCATCACGAGACTGAACAGCCCGCAGACATGTGAAGCAGGGCGTTGGTTCGGGTTTAGGATCTCAGGGATTGGCAGCATATGTCAGAACACCCACAATGTACTATCACCATTCTTCATCAGGAGCTTTCTGTACCTAGTACATTCCCTGTCACCAAGCCTCAGCCCTTGCAGAACCCTGCACAAGCTTTGTAGAACCCTTGTTCAATCATCGTGAAACCTGATCTAGCTCATGGTTGGGATGGGATGAACAATATTTAAAATTTGATTCCTTATTGGGGTTAAGTACCTTTTTTTATTCGTTTGGCCTGAAGCGTGATGCACTCGGGGAGTGGCTTTCACTCCCAACTCACCGTCACAAGATGCCCACTCGTCGGTAGGCCCCATGTGGCAGCATGTTGAAAGGCTAAGGTGCGCGCACAAACGACAAAAATTTCAAGCTCAGCAGCGCGAATGACATGAGAAAGAACGGCTACCAAAGGCTTTCAAGAAAGGATTCAATCTTCTTGGGCCCTAACAGCTTCATATCTCTCAGCCATGCACGACGGTGCTGCCACTTACGGCTTATCAGTCTCATCGCCGCTCTCTTCCGCGATGCTGTTGCCGTGAGCCAGGCATCAGGATGAAGCAAAAGATCAGTCAGGTCATCCGTGGATTCCGAGTCTGTCACCGTGGATAGGGGGCAATCACAGAGGAAGTGGCGCAAAGTATCGGAAGCCAGACTGCCATGCTTTAAGCAGAATAAGCAACAGTTGCCACGCGAGGTTGGCGAATCGTCACAGGTGTCACCTGCCCGTAACCCCTGTCCACCACAGAATAGACGAAGCACGACGATGGAACAATCCAGAGATAAACCAATGCATGTGAACAGATCAGAGATGCCCGTCTTGGAGTCAGAACGCTCAGCAAGCTGCACCGGAAAGTGAGTGAGGCGAGAGTGTCCAGTACAGCCATCCACAACTTCACGCCAACCTAGCTCCATGCATGTTTGACGATATCGCTTGAGGTCGCCCCAAAACGTGGTGGGATCCGATGGCTGGTTAAGCGCGAAGACGTTCTGGATGTCAACGCTGACCTGGTGAGCCCAAGTGCCTTCTACAGTGCGGGCCAGCGCAAAGATTTGCTGCATGAGGTTGCCATCGTCATACATCATGCGACCCCAAAGCCCGAGGCGGTTAGCCCCTAGCAGGCATGACCAAGGCACCCACCCCAAACAGGCAAGCGATGAAAGACGAGGTGAGCGCTTGTGATGACCAAGTAGCAGACGGCCTGCTTTGCGCTGGAGCAGGTCCAACCAGGAAGCCTGGGTAGCGGTAAGCGGCACAGCAGCAACCAGCCACCACACAATGGGCTCCACATAGAGGAGCCACAGGCGAACAAGATGGGCCAGTGGGACCTGGTTCACCCGTCCCCATCCCACCAAGATACCAGTTTTACGAAGGATCTTCTCACCCATGTCTTTCAAGGCTGCTGCCACGGAACCGGTAGCCGTGAAGAGGGCACCCAAGTATCTGTAGGAGGAGGTGCGGGGCAAAGGTTTGCCATACAGGAAAAGGTCACTTGAAAGATGGTTGGCGGATGGTGGCAAATCCAGCTGTGCCGATTTGTCAGGTCCAAGGTTGAAGATCATGCGGATGTGATTCGCCCAATCACAAGCTGTATCCAAGGCTCGCTGAGCAGCGGGCAGGTCACCCGTGAAGATGGCCATGTCGTCCACAAACCCTGATGCCACCATGGGAACTATAATGTCATCCACCTTGACATGACAAGCACAATCAGCATCGCAGAGCCCATCATAGAGTAGCAATGTCAAGGCGACAAACAAGGCAGTGGATAGAGCTCCTCCTTGAGGGAGGCCTACATCATGTTTGTGTGCAGCACGAACACGCCCCAAAACAACAGGTTTGGAGCAGATACTGCCAAGCACCAGGTGAATGATACGAATGTCGTCACTTCTCAGCTGCTTCAGCCTGCGTAAGCAAGATACCATGGCAAGAGGAGGGGGCCTGCAGTAAGCAGATTGGCCATCCAACAAAACCACCACGCAGTCGATGAGGCGCTTAGCCCTTAACCTCAGCATGTCACCCATGTACGCGATGGCCAGATCAGGGCCCTTGCTCCCACCTAGCTGCCAAGGAAGCGCTTGTGAGCGTATAGCGGGCCAAACACGGTGGAACATGATGCGGTCCAGAAGCTTGAGGGCCAAAGGCATCAAGGAAATCGGTCTGTGTGACTCAATGCGATTCTTTGGCTTACCAGGTTTGAGCAAAGGAACGATGACCACAACGCACCAAGCCGGGGGCAGAAAGTCACACAGAATGGCAAGGTTCAACAACCCAATCAAGCAAGCACGAAGCGGTTCACAGGGTGGCTTCAAGATGGAGACAGGCACAGCTTCAGTGGGCGGCGGCGCCGCCGAGGCATTAAGGCCAACCAAGGAGTCACAGAACTCAGTCCACTGTATGAGGCTCTCAGCACGGTCTTCAACAGGTAACTCCCTCAACCACTGCCGAGCATCACGGTATCTACTACGTGCAGTTTCCCTGGGAGGATCCTCACAAGGACGTTCCTCAAGGTGGCCTTGGTATAACTGCAGCAGAACCTCCGGCGACAGCTGTCCATCCCAGGAGGTTTGTGACCTTAGGAATTCAACCCAAATATCAGCAGCAACCTGATCACCCAATAACTCATTGTCGACGGTAATCATGTGGGAAGCAGTGGCGTCCGGGTTGATCTCATCACGAATCCAGTCAAACGTCTTTTTATTGGGTGCAAATCTGAAGCAATCATGAGGTTGACCGGTCAAGCTTGTGTAGCGCTTGAGACGGTGGGCCTTAAGAGCACGATTGACAGTCCGCTGCAATGGCCCGTAAGACGCTGTACCTCGACTCTCGCGCATTCTCTGGATGGCCAAGCGCAGTTTAGCAGATAGCTTAAGCCGACGCTTCTTGCCCCCATCCGGTTTCATGGAGAAGCGACCATACGGGGAGTTTGACTGGAACAGCACACCTAAGAGGAGAGCACTCAGAACAGCAGCACCCTGAAGTAGAACATCACGTAACTCTGCGGGGTCAGAAGGTGGTGGCCACAAGTGCGTTGATAACCACGAGTGCAAAGATTGCAACAGCGGTGTTACCTCATCTATGAATTGCTGGATCGGGAAGTCCTTGAAGGAGCACCATTTGGGATCCCTGGTGCAACCAGCACCACGAATTGCCAAGCCAGGAATGCCAACAACGAGTGGGAAATGATCACTCCCCGCAACACGTAATTCGTGGATGACACGGAATGACCAATCCTGACTTGAGGATGTGTAGGCAATGGCAAGGTCAAGGATATTGCCTTTGATATGCGTGGCTAGGTGTGGCGGGCGTGCATTGAGAAGGCATCCATCACTGGCAAAGTGCTGACTGAACAAAAGATTCAGCCGATCATCGCCAGAAGCATGAACCGAAGCAGCAGAATCGGAGAGCAAGAATGTTGGGAGATTCATGTCCCCCACCAGGATGGGCAAAGCTGTATGATAACTCCTCACCAGTCGCTCCCAGCACGCGTGGGCCAAACGGAAATAATTCTCACGAGCTTCATACCCATGTCCAGGTTGCGGGGCGTACATCACCCCAACAAGCACAGGTCTGTTGCCTGCGATTAACCAAGCACCAAAATTGCAGGGGCCATCCGATACGTCCAACCGCGACCAACGGCCACGGATTTGTTCATCAAATATAGCCCCCACGCCATAGCCTGGCAGTGCACGAGCGCACCTAACAAAATCGAATTCAACGCCAGATTGTGGCGAGATATGGGTGACGGCTGTAACTCCAGTTTCCGCCATGAACATCGCATGGCAATCCTGGTCTCGAAAGAAGGCAAGGAGATCAATGACCTTTCCCTCATGTAATTGGCCATTCCTGTGCGTAAGGCAGGAACAGTTGCAAAACGAGATTGTCATCCCATGAGTTCGGGATGATGCGACCGAAGAGACTAGTCACTGAGCCTTGCGTTTGCCACGCCCCTTGTTGGAAACAAAAGCTGCCTCCAAGTGTGGCCAAACTTCGTGGCCATCATGCAATCCACATTCCTGCAAATAGTCCTTGATAGCGGCTTTGCCCAGCTCACCAAGCTTCTTGGCAACCATTTTCAGGACAGTCTTGAGGTCCACAATGCGGGAGGAAGGCGTGATCGCTGGCAACAACAACTTGCCGTCGAGAGTTTGGGTGACCTGTAATGAAACATCCAATGGTGACACACGCCCGGCCCCAGCATCATGAAACCACTGCGAACGTAGCAAGGCGGATCTGATGGACCTCACTTGCTCCTGTTTGGAGGAGTTGATTCGAGCATTGCCGCTACTGCGTCCAGTGGAGCCTGGATAAACCTGCAGATTGCCAGCACCTTTGCCGAACTTGACCTGGAGGACCCCTGGCGACGCAAGCTGGGGCTTCTCGCATGTTACAAGACCTTGCTTTTTCATGAAGAGGATAACGGCCTGCAAATCATCCAGTGTAACCGCCATGCGCGGGAAATTAGGGTTCAAGAAGTGCAGGGCCCAACCATGACCATCAGTTTTCACATCCTTCAACCTGCCAGAGGATGAAATAACTCTTGGCCATGGAACAGGTGTGTCGCGAAGAAGATCATGAGGCTTCTGCGCCGTGTCAGCGGAAGGCTTCGATACCTCATCCTCAGGTCCTGGTAGCGGGGAGTCATCCGATGCCCAAGCCGCATTCAGGCTCCCATCCAAACACCTGCGAGTAGGAGGCCTAGGATTGGAGAGGCTGCGCATGTTGGAATCACGGCTGCATTTCGGTGAGCGAGAGCGCTCTCGACTGCGTGACTGCTGGGGGGAACTGTCCATGAGCCTGCCTCTAGGATGCAAGAACCAGCAATCTTTCCGAGTGCAGCGACGACCAAATCTGCATTCAATCCTGGATGGGGTGTTATCATGCTCACCGTCCTTTTTGACAAAGGTGTCATGCTCACCGTCCTTTTTGACAAAGGTGTCGGGTGGCGGCGGGGGCGGCGCGCTGAGATGCGGGCCTCCTGATGCCAAAGTATATCCAGAGTCAGGGATGGTACCGCATGGTGCGATCGAGGAAGGTGGCATCATAGACCCATGTGGTGCATTTGTATACCACGATCCAAGTGTAGCCAACTGCTCATGAAAGGCATTTGGTTGCGAGATGGCTGAAAAAGCATTCTGTAGCAGCTGCTGTTGCAGGAGGCCCATGGCCATCATGGTGTACTGAGATTGCTCATCCATGCTCAGTGACACACTGGGGACAACGAGGAATTGCAGGCCCCCAGCTCGTTCATAAATTGCTGCAATGCAAAAAAGCCAGCATTCCTTAGCAACCAACCTGAATCGGACAGGCATCATCAAGGGAAAACACAACAAACAACATCACCAGAGGCAAAAGAACAAGTGAGCGCAGTGTAGGTGAGCCACCTGGGTTTCAACAGGGACTTGAAGCAGGGTCGTCACGCCTACAAGAAGTAAGTACCCAAAATATGTAAAATGCTACCCAACTATGACAAAGTGATGCTAAGCCCACAAGTGCCTCTGCTCCGTAGAGCGAAGCCAGAGCTGGAAGGACCTCGCACCGAGTTTCCCAACGCGGTTTAGGGTTTAGGGTTGAGGGATACAGGGTTTGGGGCTTCGGATGCCGAAACAGCTCTTCGTGACTCGTTGGGAAGAACCGAGAGCCGAGTCGAGGAGGTTTCAAGTTTCAAGATCACTGGGGCGCTGTGCTATTGGACTTGTTCCTTCTCCTCCTCCTCCCCCTCCTCTGCTGCGACAGTGTCTAGCAGCGTGCCGGGGTCTTAGGCAAGAAGCTGTACGTCGTATGTTGAGGGTCGAAACTGAATTCAATGGTACGGGTGAGAGGATCGTTCGGGATTGTTCTAGACATGTTGGGCCAGTCTTGGTATTGAGGGATGGCTCGGTTGGGTACCCTCGACCGTCGTAAATTTGCGAAAACCGTGACACGAAAGCCGACCACCAATTGGACCAACCTACCCTTGCCACCGTTTGCAACCTTGCATAACCGGACCACAGCATGCCAATATAGCATATCCCTAGATTCCTAGTAGCCCCGTTGATAATAAAGGTAGCACGTTCAAGCGGAACACGAAAGCACGTCAGTAAAACGAAACCAGCGGCGGAGCTAACATGCAGAAGCAGGTAGGTGGATATAGATGCCGCGGACCTGTACAGTTTCTATCTTCCCACAGACAGGGCTTCTCTGCAAGCATTACAACTACACGAACGATTGCGAACGTCGCGATCATCATGGTGATTTACTACTCTAAACCAAAACCTTCATCCGTGAAGCTTGGGCACTATATCAGAAGTTCTACAGTACACCCTAAGGCTTTACTGCCTGATTTATGCCGCCCCCCGGATCTGCCTTGGACTTGGACTTCGCTTGCTTTGTTTCCGAGGAAACGAGCTGTTCCTGCACTGCGAGGTGCTCCAACATGCCTCCCATGCGGTCGGATGGTGGAGTCAAGGTTCATTATTCTTGGTATCAGCATTCTTACTAGTATTGTTAGTACTATTATCTGTATTGCTGAGGTTTCATTTTTAAATATTATTTGGTGCTTTAGAGTGTGCTTTCGGAGTTTGGGTTCAGGGTTTGGGGTCTGGTGTGTTGGCTCCGAGGCCCGTAAGACTCAAACCAATTCCTCAGCCGATGAATTCCAAAGGCCTGAACTTTCAAACCCCTTTAACGCTTGGATCCTTGAAAGAACCCGTAGCAACCCTTCAAGGACCTCTGAAACCCTAAACCCAAAGAACCCCTTTACCCTAGACTGGTAAAGAACTTCTTAAGCTTAAGCCCTAAACTGCCAAAGCACAGAGCCCCTCAAAGGACGCCTTATAGATCCCTTACCTTACCTTTGGTTAGTAGGGAATGAAGGAATGATAGTAATATATAGTATAATAGTACCCATTCCTTCATTCCCTACTAACCAAAGGTAAGTTACAGGATCCCTTAAAGGAATCGTCGAGGGAAGAAGAATACCGAGCCTCTCAGCAGCGGTAGTAAGTCCTGGTCAGGTCAAGACTGGAAACCAAGGGTTCCTTTAAGGGGTTTAGGAGTTAGGGTTTAGGGGTCAGGGTTAAAGGGTTCTTTGAAAGCGTTTAGGTTTTAGGAGTTAGGGCTTAGGGGCGATTAGGATTCGGGGTTTAGTAGGGTTTGGGGGTTAGGGGTTTAGGCTTAGGGTTAAGGGTATAAAGACTGGATGCTTCACAGAAAATTTCATCTTTCGGATGGGCTTGAGAGGCATAATATTATGGTCCGATTCGTAGCTCTCTAAATTAGGGCACCGTTTTAGGTCCCCAACATAGCGCGGCACCCTCAAAAAAAAAGGACCGAGTTTAGAGAACTACCCATAAGGAACCGTAAAAAAATGGATAGTATTGCTGTTCAACCAAGCTTCTCCGTCCATAAGCCATCCGAAGCCCTAAGCTATTGAATCGAACTACTAGTTATTCGGGCGTCTACCTTTTGTGCATGCGCTACTCCTCTTCCCAGACGCAGTGGACTTCGGCCGGGTTGCGGGCTCTCTGGGAGTTTCCGAAAAAGGGGCCTCTAACGCAGAACCCTGAATCGAAGAATCCTAACAATCACGACCCAAGTCGATGCCTTGTAAAGTTGGTGAAGCACCTTTCCATTCCCTCCACGCCTTGGGTCTTGCCACGTTGGCTTTCTGCATCAAGGCTTTCGTGCATGCCTGGCCCAGGAGGGTTCGAGCATTTCAGTTCGGACGAAAACCTCTAAACCCTAAGGCCCCAAAGTAGTTCCTTTTTGGGGTTCATATATAGAATCCTATAAGGTAATCCCAAAAAGGAACTACTTTGGGGCCTATGGGTAAACCCTACACCAGTCTCAAATCCCGAAATACCCAAGGTCCTCGAGCCCCAATCCACAAGCCCCTACTTGGAGGGTCGGGGGACTTAGTAACTGGTTATTTTAGGGACTTATAAGTACCATAACCCCAATTAGGGTCCCTTTTAGGGTACTTATAAGTCTACTTACTACCTACTTACGAAGTCCCCCGACCCCCCAAGTACTAGTAACCCCGAACCCAAGGTTAGAACCGTTGTCGGACCCTTATGGACCCCTTACAGAACACCCCGATACATCCCAGCTGAACCCTCAACCCCTAAACCTTAAACCCCAAAACCCTTAAATCCATAAACCCTAAACCCCTAAATCCCTTGACCCTAAACCCCTAAAATCCCTAAACTTTAAACCCTAAACCCCCAAATCCCTAAACCCTAAACTCCTAAATCTCTGAAACCAGTGCGGGTGCCCCAGGATACATCCATCCTGTGTATGCAAGTCCTCTGTTTGCCCTAAGGTGCATTCTTTTTTCCAAGCAGGCCGCAAAAGGGGCCTCCAACGGCCGGAACAGGGTTCGGGGGAATACTGGAGCATTGTTACCAGCAACCCTCCGCCCTAACACCCTAAACCTCTAAGCCCTGAACTCTATGCCCTTAAACCCCCTAACCCTATCCCCGAATCCTGGACCCCTATAAACCCCATACCCTGAAACCCTAAACCCCTAAACCCTGTACCCTAAACCCCTACCCCTTTCCCCCTATCCCCTACATGCCTCATTATTCCGACCCCACTGGTAAGCCCAGAATTGTGGAATTAGGTACCCAAAACCATACTAGGGATGATCTTCTGGGACCTAATTCCATGTTGGTAATGTCTATGAACCATTCCTATTTTGGATTCTTATTTTTCCTATTTTGGGCGTATTTATTTATTTTGAACTCGGCCCACCTTTCCATGTCATTCCCGTCTTAAGTATATGAACCCTCTGGTATTCCGGCCCCACTGCTGAGCCAAGAAGCCTCAAAGTCTTTCTCCTTCGTAAGCTCCGACAGGGATCGCTTCTCTGTCGGTGCCGGTCCTCCGTCACTTCACTTGAGCTTTGGTCTAGTGGGCTTTAGGGTTTGGGGGTTTTGGGCTTTAGGGTTTCGGGGTTTGGGGTTTAATTTATGTTCTTGCGTGTTTTTCTTGGTTTAATTTAACGCTGGGGCTAGGGCTTTAGAGGCTGTGAAAATACTGCTTGGGACATGTACACCTGCATTCTACATAGTTATATCTACACATGCATACATACTATACACAGAGCCTATTGCATACCATATCACACCCCACTGCAACAAACATACCACGCCACACCACGCCGTACCCTGCCGAACCGTTCCGAATGTACACTTGCCTGGGCGAATTCCGTCGTTGAGCCAGTAGGTTAATCTTCGCATCGGTGATGGGATTTGTGTGTGCGTGTCACATGAAAATCCCAAACACAAGTGCCCTACACAACATGGTCAGGCAAGCCAGCCCAACGAAGCTTTATGCAAAGTTATGCAGACTAAAACACCATAGAACTAAACGCCACCATGAAAGCTGATCGAACCTTGTACAAGCCTCCCCATGCCGCTAATGGACAAAAAAGACTCCAAACCCTGCACTCAAGTAGATAGAACAAGCGCGAAAACTGCTTGGATTATGCTCTGCCAGCGACCCTAAACTCAGCCTCGTGGTTTCAACCGACCACACCCACCCACAAACAAAACAGATCCGACATATGCACACAACAGCAGAACACAACTAAGCACGGCTCCTGGCGCAAGCGCAACCATCGCTGCTGCTGCCCTCGGCGGAGGTTCTGGGTCTTCCGTGGGCGCTTGGTTTTCTGTTGGGACCTGGAGCTTCAATTTAAAGGGGTTTAGGGTTTAGGGTTTAGGGTTTAGGGCTGAGGGTGTGGTAGGATTTAGTAATTAGGGGATTAAGGCGGCTACGGGATTTATGGTTAGGGATTTGGGGTTGGGAGCTCAGGGTTCTTCGGATGCACAGCTCCAGACATGCGAGGGCCCAGTCATTGAGGCCAGCCAGCAGGTCAACAACGAGCAACACGTCGTTTTCTGGCACCGTTTGCAGGATGCTAAACCCTAAACCCTAAACCCTAAACCTTGTAATGGCCTTTGGTGCTAGCAGCCCAGGCTGCAGCCGCTGCAACTCGCAACATTGGCTGCATGGGACCTGTCGAGGGCTAAACTTGTCCTCGCGGCAGCTGATACGTCGTTGCTCAGCTTTACGGGCGATCAGGGTCTGTATGGTGGGATCTCCGCAGCCCGGCCTGGATGGTTTCGACTGCTGCCTTGGGTTCAGAACCGGTAAGGGCCTAAGCGGTTTACAGCATTAGTTGATGCTTGGGATTCAAGGCTTTGGGGTTTGGCGCGATTGGCAATTTCGGGTTCTTCTCGGGTTTCAGAGCGGCAGAGTCGAAGCTGTTCCTAAACCCTAAACCCGAAAGAAATTGCATAAGGCTTGAGGTTCGATAATGTCGGGCTTTATGGCTCTAAGCTGCTGGGATCGGAAGGTTCCTACAGACTTCCCGGCTGCCCCGGAGTTGAGCAAGTTGAGGGCAAAGGGATCGGAGTACTTAGTTTTCTTTGCGGGGTGTTGATTGTCTGCTTTAAAATTTGAAGCGGGACGATCACGATCAGGGTGCTGCTGATGATGAACATGATGCCGGTAAAGGTGATGCGAAGCGAACGATGGATATAATCACGATGATGATGGTTTTGATGATGGCGATTGCACTCGTTGCCCCTCGGCTTCGGGTGTCGACAAGATCTCAACCAATTACTTTGTTCACGTTCTGGTCTTCGAGGACATAGCCCTAGATGCTACACCCAAACAACCTAAGCCCCGCGACCCTCGCTTGCTCAAGCCGCGCATCCTGATGGCAACATGTTCTCAACCTGGCCAGTAAAGCCGTGCATCATCTTTCAGAGGAAACCATCAGTTGCTGTTTGTTCCCACCATCCCACCACGACAACCCTGCAGGCAGCCGCTAGGCCTGCTACGGTGAAAGCGCAAATGTAATAAGCTAGGCCTGCTACGGCTGTATCTGTATCTATGTCTATGAGTATCTATGAATGTGTCTATCTCTATATCCACATCTGTATCTACACCTTTCTCTATCTCTTTGTATATATGCACAGATCGACAAATGGATAGATAGATAGGTAGGTAGATAGCCATCGTGTATTTTGTACATGCATATGTGTGTGTAGTACCGACATGCATAATGATGCTGATATTCATAATATCCATCAAAATAAAACTCTATACAGAGTAATAATACCAAAATAGTCGTGATATTATTCATAATACCAATCATAATAAAACTCTAAACCGAGTAGTAATACCAAAATAGTCGTGATATTATTCATAATACCCATCAAAATAAAACTCTAAACCGAGTAGTAATACCAAAATAGTCGTGAAATTATTCATAATACCCATCAAAATAAAACTCTAAACAGAGTAGTAATACCAAAATAGTCGTGATATTATTCATAATACCCATCAAAATAAAACTCTAAACCGAGTAGTAATACCAAAATAGTCGTGAAATTATTCATAATACCCATCAAAATAAAACTCTAAACAGAGTAGTAATACCAAAATAGTCGTGATATTATTCATAATACCCATCAAAATAAAACTCTAAACCGAGTAGGAATACCAAAATAGTCGTGATATTAACAGAAAGACCCCATCAGCACCCGGATCTGAAGTGGAAGCAGCTCGTCAGGGGCCCCGGAGCACCAAAAACTCTGAACCCTAAATCCCTAAACCCTTTAGGGTTTAGGGTTTAGGGTTTAGGGACTCTAAACCCCAAACCCTAAACCCGAAACCCTAAACCTTAAACCCTAAATCCCAAACCCAAAACCTTAAACCCGAAACCCTAAACCTGAAGCCCTAGAAACCCTAACCCCTGAACCCTATAAATCCCTAAACGCCCTAAACCCCTGAAGGGGCCCCTGGCTCATGCCAAGCTTTGGCGAAGTTCTCCTGGGAGACTTTGCTGTGGACCCCGCAGCTTCTGGCCAACCTCCCGTGGTCTAGGATTTAGGGTTTATAGGGTTTAAGGTTCAGGGTTTAGGGTTTAGGGTTTAAGGTTCAGGGTTTCGGGTTTAGGGTTTAAGGTTCAGGGTTTAGGGCTTAGGGTTTAAGGTTCAGGGTTTAGGGTTTAGGGACTTAGGGGCTTACAGTAGGGTTTTGGGGTATGTTACACTATAGATAGCCAACCTCCCGCGGGGTCCGCACCCAAGTGAACTATCATATGAGTAGGGTACTTCGGTTGATGATATAAATCCTGCATTACCCATAATAAGGAATATACCAGAGTTCCCATAGTTTAGGGTCCTTAAGGTCATGCAGGATTTTGTTCATCAGCAGTATGAGTAGGGTACTTACAGTAGGGTTTTGGGGTATATTACACTATAAATATGGGTGGTTGTCAAAATTAGGGTCCCATTTTTTGGGTACCTTGAATAGTAGGTGCCGTATTATATATAGTTCAGAGTTTCAGATATAGTTAGCTTTATGGCTAATAATAGCCTACGAGGATGCTACAATGCAGTATCAAACCAAAACACTAATCTGCTGAAATGTATCTGTAAAATGCAACTGAACGATACGCCTGGTTAACCAGAACATGCTGGACTGTAGAAACCTTAATGTACTTCAAAGGCTCTATCAGCTGCCGAACAAGAAGATGATGACGTTAGGCCTCATGGCGCCCTCCGGTGTGGCGGCGGCAACTGCAAGAGCAGTGCCTGGGGTCAGATGACTCAGTCCAATGGGGAGGAAGAAGCCGGTGTTCCACGATAAAACATCTGAGGACACACGGCGCTAGATCTCAAATGCCTGCGCGACTCAAGGAGTCTTGAAAGGATCAGGGTGCGCTGCAGCTACTAAATAAAGAAGTGTGGATTCTGGTTGTCAAGTCAGACGCGCAGACCGTATAACGAGAAATCCTACAGAAATACCATACCTAAACCCCAAATAACCTGTACATTTGTTTCCGGCCCCTCATGAGCATTTCCTCCTAGCCCTAATTTTTACTACACAATACATGTGGCCTAAAACCCGAAGCCCTGTAAACCCTAAATCCCTAGCCCCTACTTCCTATCGCCTATCCCCAAAACCCCCGAAACCCTAAACCCTTAAACCCCTAAATCCCAAACCCCTAAATCCCTAAACCGCGAAATCCTTAAACCCCGAAATCCCTAAAGCCCTAAACCCCTAAACTAAAGCCGCCCACTAAGCTTTGCATTAATAAGGACCCCTAGGTATATACCCTTAATGTAGCTACTATATACCCATTATAGGGTAGCGGTCCCTCCTGTGTGAACCGAGTGAGCTCAGCGTGGGGCGGCTGCGAGCTTCCAGCATCTGCTCCAGCTGTGCTACCTGTGCCATGGGCCCAGAGAGCCTATAAGGGTTCCTTTAAAGGGATCCTAAAGGTTCCTTTAAAGGGATCTATAGGGATTCTATAAGGGTATAGGGGGGCACCTCCCAGAGAGCCCAAGGTGGGCCCCTTATTTCAGGAATATGGCTTGAAGTATATAGGGCTTCATACTATGATTTAAGGTATACTCCTTGATTAAGGGGTATGGGGCTTTCTGGGGGGTGTCAGAAGACTCCAAATAGCCCAAAGTAAGTAGGATTTATAGACTTTAGACCCCGACGGAAGCACCATTTACATGCTTGGAGTCTTACCCCAAAGCTCCAAAGGACCCAATAATTAGGTACTCGGTTTTAGGATAGTGGATATGTAGGTTACTATTTGTGATCATAAGGTACCTGGACCCTTAGAGCTGTGCATGCGGTTTCAGGGTTTAGGGGTTTAGGGCTCCTTTTCAGGGTACTATAGGGTTCTATAATAGGGCTCCTTGTCCAGGGTTTAGGGGTTTAGGGCTCCTTTTAAGGGTACTACAGGGTTCTATAAGTGAGTTCCCTTGAAGCGTTTGGGGTTTACACTGTAGAGCGATTTTGGTTTAGTGTTTATGGTGCTCAGGGCTTACAGGTCGGTTTAGGGCTTGCGGCTTGCTGAGGGTTGACGTACATTTTCAGGAATTATATGAGGAAATCATACTATTGAACCCTGACAAAAGGAGACTTTAGTGTCCAAGTGAAATTTATGAAGGTTTTTACCAAGTGTTGGGAGTGTCGGATCCCTGTGGCATGACTTTCTGTTCTTCCGGCTCTATTGAGGGTTCGGCATCCGGACGCAGGAAGAATTTCAACTGGGCCTCCACTCATAGCTTTCTCAAAATTCACGCTGTCATGACTTCTAGTAGCAATCAAGATGTAAACAAAAACAACAGGTGGGACAAATTAAACAGTCAATGACAAGCAGGATGATGGCTCAGGGGGGTTGTGCGAAATGGTTCAGTAACGGGGTTGGCGCTGAACTCGCGAGCAGCAGCACGTAGCTCCACAACATCTGGTTCGAAGGGGAAAACGGTTTAGAATTTTGTGTTGTCCTGGAAACGATCAACGATTCCAGCATTTCTGGCTGCTGTGGTGCTATGCACGACCTTAACCACGAACCTGATTGTATACAAATACTACCGGTTCTGGTCCCTACACCCTATTAACCGAACTAACCATACTTTAGTATGTTCCTTTTTTTCTGTTCTGATCGATGTTTTTATGGCCCCTGTATTTGATACAAGGCTGACATCCATCGCGTGGTCATTTTTGAGGGCACTGGTCGTCCTTCAACCACAAAACACAATGCAATGCAAACTTGTCCCCACTGTGAAGCCGCTTGTTGAGATCGTGTGGACACAGCAATCTCTCGTGATGGCACGACCCTTTTCATGCAAAGACACGCCAAACAGAAACTTCCACCTCAGTCATTCCCCGTAGTCTGCTACTCCAAAGTGTGGTGTTCTTTGCGTAGCTTGTCGGCCGTTCGAGTCGAATTGTAATTGCCAAAATCCCGAACCCCTGAGTCCCGAAACTTCAGCACACAAAGCCTATGAATGAACCCTCAACCCCAAGCCCTGAAACGTTGGAAACAGCAACGGCAACACGCCCCAAGTCCTGAAACCCTAGACCTCTAAGCGGGCACGAATGCCTCGATGCTCGTGAGGCCGTGCGTCCGGAAGGAGCTGCGGGGCAAAGCAGAAGGGATATTTTTGGGGCGTTCAGGGTCTTAGGGTCCTACAAAGGGTACCAGAATGGGTCCTACACCGGCTTAGGACTCGAGGGTTTAGGGTTGTTGGGGCTTGGGGTTTGCATACGGTTCAGGTGTGGATTTTTCAAAGGGGTTGCGGTTAGGCTCTTTCTCACGGACACGGTCAAGTCTAAACTTGTCTAAACAATTTATTAAACTCCTGATCCCGCTCTCAGGTCAAGGGGCGGCATCACTAGCAGCCCCAGTTCTCTTTCCAACCTGGAACCTGCCTCTGCTGCAACCTTCGCATCTACTAAGTCATGGCGCAAGTTCTTCGCAACGGTGACCTAACCCCTCAACCCTAAACTCCTAAATCCGCAACCCCAAATGCCTGAACCCTAAACACCCTAAACCCGCAACCCCAAATCCCTGAACCCTAAACCCCCTTAAACCCTAAACCCTAAACCCCCTTAAACCCTAAACCCCTAAACCCTAAGCCCCCTTAAACCCTAAGCCCCCTTAACCCTAAGCCCCCTTAAACCCTAAACCCTAAACCCTGCGGGCCGAGAAGGCCTCCGAAGGAGATCACTGACTCCACCGGGCCGAGAGACGGGCTCACCCTGTCATCGTCCGAGCTCTCGGAGAGCCAAGGGGTTTAGGGGTTTATGGGGTTTAGGGTTTATGTTGATAGGGTATAGAAATCCTCTTCAGGGTACTTTAGGGTTCTAGAATAGGGTTCCCTTGTAAGCGTACTATAAGGATCTAGAGTTATATGGTGTTCCTCTTCCAGGGTTTCAGGGATTCAGGGAATAGGGTTCCTTTTTTAAGGGTACTTGAATAGGGTTCCCTTTGAGGGCTTAGGGTTTCGAGCAATCAGGGTTTGGGGCTCCGGGGTTGGAGCTTGCGGTTTAGGGATTAGGGGCCTTGGGGTTCAGGGTTTAGGGTTTAGGGTTTAGGGTTTAGAGTTTAGGGTTTAGGGTTTAGGGTTTAGGGTTTAGGGATTAGGGTTTAGAGTTTAGGGTTTAGAGTTTAGGGTTTAGGGATTAGGGATTAGGGTTTAGGGGGTCGGACATTACAAGGTTTAAGGATTGAGGCTTCTAGAAGGTTTCAACGTTTAGTCTTCAGTTCAATGGCTTCTGAGTGCCACATGGACAGATCAATCTGTCTGATTCAAAAAGGTGGAATAGAGTTTTTTTTTGGGGGGGTAGATTGATTATGGCATAACCTTGAAGGGCCTACTACTTACAAAGGGACAGCGGTACTGATTCTTCAGATTTAGGCCCAGAATGGATAGGTCTCTACATTGGGGTCCCCGTTTCCCCCCCCCCCCCAAAAAAAAAAAGTACGTCACCCTATAAAAAGGACCCTAAAAGTGATCCTAATTAATGTAGAGAACTACCTAATTAACTTGCAACTGCCCCTCCAAAGCACTCAAACCCTCGAAAAAGTGCCGGCGGTGCATCGATGTAGCTCAGGGCGACACCTGCAAGCAGCCGACGACTACTTGGGCATGAAGCGGCGTCTTAGGAGTTTATGGTGTGAGATTTCGAGTTGATGGTTTGAGTTTTGAGGTTTATAAATATATAAATAAATAAATAAATATATATATATATATATATATATAAACAAATAATACATGTATATACATATATAGGTTGTGGGTTTGAGAGTTTGGAACCGGGGTACATTGAGGCCACGGCCGAGGACTACAGTAACATGCTCAGGGCGTCGAGCATCATGAGAAGCTCCTACATGGTTGCGAAAGGTTGAATGTAACGGCTCATTCGAAAGACATAGAATGAGGTGTAGAGTGTAGTCACCTGCGTGACGAATACTCCAATTCCTCTCAATCTTCTGATCTTCGATGCCTTGTACATGCTGCAAGTTCTGCATGCCCTAACCCTCAAGCCCTGAGGAGTTTAAGTTGGCGTCCTGCACAAGGCTTCATACGACTGAGACCACGTCTTAGCCAACAGGGCTTTAGCATGCAGGGAATTCAGGGTGCGGGAGTTTCCCAACCAAAATCCGTGTAGTACTGCACCAACGTTTGTATGTGAATGCTAGCAGCGACATGCGCACTGCTGGTGCGCTTGTCAGCCAGTACACTAGGACACGTGACGAACTAAACCCGAACTGCTTCGATCGCCTACACTCAACCCGAACCCTAAGCACGAAACCTGCTTTCGCGTGCTGTAAGGAGCGGACGCGTCTCGACGGGTCTCGAGACTTTGACCCAGGACCAATCCTCCTGGGTATCCTCCTCCTCGTGGCCAGGCACACGTGTGTGTTTAGTCATCATCGTCGCAGCACATCGTAGTAGAAGCCTTTGTCGTCGTAGTACTGCTAGCTCTTGTTGTAGCAAGGAAAGTCGCGTTGGACGTATTGTGGATGGAAGAAGTTCATGGCTTGACATCTCCGAGTACCGACCTTGCTAGACGCAAGTTTCTGAGCCGTTTTATTTGGCTACGGTACTTATAAATAGTTTTAAAGGTATATTCCTCAATATGTAGTTTCTGGTCCAGTCCGCCGGTGCTAACGTGGCAGCAGACCGGCAAAGAGCTAAAACTGAGAACGGATTTTCGGGCGGTTGACATCCTTTGACCTTGAGATCTTTGGAAAAAGGCAGGCGACCCTCATAGAGACCCTAAGTAGTAGTCTCCTCATACTCTTAAAGATCATTGAAGAGGAACTTCTGAAACTCAAGAAACACGCTCGGATCTGAACAAAGCGTTGCAGTACTCCCTCATCATCCCTATGACACCAGTATACTCTGTATTCGGACAATCAGGCCTCTACATCAACCGCTCATAAAGCCCACGACACCGTAGAATGCGCTTGTAAAACATATAACTACCTATAGAAGCCTGTACTTTACAAGATGTATGTATGTATGCATGTATGTATACACATATGTAAACACATAAACATGTGTGGGTGCACACACATATACCATATATATATATATATATATATATATATATACATACATACATACATACATACATATATATATATATATATATATATATATATAGGTATCTGCACATACACACATGGGTGGTTGTCAAAAATAGGGTCTCTTCTTGGGTAATTACCCTAAATATTAGGTGCCGCACTATATCAGGGACCCAAAAAAGGGACACTGATATTGACAACCACCCACATATTTCACGAATACACATACCCGGATGGGAGTTTCCGAGAATAGGGGACCCTAGTATAGTGCCCTAAATAGTAGGATGGACCCCATAATAAGGTACCCCAATATTCGGAAACCCCCATATAAATATGAAGACCACAAGGACATCTTCCGTCACTCCGGTCCTCGACGTAGCGCTCGACGGCTCTGGGAGGATCCACAGGTGCCGGCGGAGGCTCTGCGGGCGTCGCGTTCTTTGACGCTGGGGCCACGTCCACGTAGCCGTTGGCCTTCTTTTGGAGTTTGGGGTTTAGGGTATAAGATTGCTTAGGGTTCAGGGGTTTAGGGTTTGGGGAGGGCCGGAATATTTGGCCTCCGGAGGAGGGCAGGATCTTTTAACAGGAGCTGTATGGCTTCTTCGCAGGCTGTAACAACTAATCGCGGTTCAAAGGTTCAGGGCTTTACTGTTCAAAAGGCTTTGGGGACTGTTGCAGTGTGGGGGTAGGCAGCGGCCGTTCCGACTACTTGGCTCGACCTCGACAAGTTAACCCCGACGACCGACGTCTCGAATTAAATTCCATACACTCTGAGCTTGTCTTAAACCCGCAAACCTGCAGAAATCCTGAGCAGCGAGAGCAACTCTCCTGTGGGGCTGCACTGTCCCCCCAGCCCGCAGACTCTTGGCAGCCCGATTGGCCACACTAACACCCGGAACCCGAAGCCCTACCCTTAAACACCAAACCTGAAGCCCTGAGGCCTGGCGATGCCTACTTGGAGGTTCATGGGTAGTCAGAAGTGGGGTTATAGGTAGCGTAGCTGTAAGTATAGCCCCTACATTCGGGGACGAAATAACCCCACTTATAACTACCCATGAACCTCCAAGTAGGCTTTGAGGTTCCCAAGTTCCGCTTTCTTCGGGGCCCATACAGCTAACCTTCTTGACTTTCCCATGTTGCTAGGCCGACTTACATGTCACCTGATTCTCCGACTGCAGTCTCTTGCTCCAGTCCCCGCAACCTCACCGAAGTACGGGTAAAGACTGTGAGCACGCCCTAAACCCTAAAACTGTAGCCCCTCAACACTAAACCCTTTAAAGCCTAAAGCCTTAACCCCCAACCTCTGAACCCTGGCCCTAAACCCTAAACCCTAAACCCTAAACCCTCTAAGGGGCAACAGCAACTCCAGCAACCGCCCGAAATTCAGGAACTCCCTGGGGCGAGGATCCCAACTCGCATGTTTCAGGTCTACCTGGCCCCAAAGAAACCTGCCATTTTCGGGATCTTTACGATGAGCTCCTTATATGAATTCTTAAAAGGTATGTTCGTTTGGGTATACATAAAGTAGCGAGGTACACATCGAGTAGGAGATCGTAGTTGTTTTGCTTTTGTTGTATAGCCGGTTATAATCCCAAGAGTTCGGGACTTGTCTTTGACTCCCTGAAGAATAGCATCAACATATTCCGACCGCAGAATCAGATCTTTCATGCATCTGGGGCCACGACCGCAGGCGCCGAGCTCTGTGCTGGCCGACCAATGTTGGCTTGTGTCCGGGCTTCGGCCCATGCCCTGGCGGAAGCCCCGTGTCTAATTACCATAGGAGCCCTGACAATTACAGAATAATGAGCCCCAAAACCTTATTCTAATTATTATGGCCCCGATATTATTCTATTGGGGTGTTGGGTCTTTGTCAAATTCTTAAACAGGCTTTCTGGAAGAGATATCAAACATAACAGGCTTTCTATCCATACAGGTTTCTATGATTCTACAAGGCGTAGGGATTAGAGTTTAATTAGGGTTTAGGGTTTTGGGTTTGGCTTCAGTGTTTGGGGCTTCAGGAGTTAAGTTTCGGGGTTTGGGGTCTTCGGAGTCGAGGGTTTCTTTATAGGAGGATGGGCTTAGGGCTGGTGGAGGCTACCGAATGTATCCGCTGCACAACCGATAGGGCCTGGGGTCGAATTGAGCCGTGCCAATCCTTTCGAGGACAGTATTGAATTTCGAACCCAGCTGTGAGCTCTGAGAAGACTTGAAGGCACATCGCTCAAGTGGGAAACTGCACTTGCAGGTTGCACGAAGTTTACATTCAGTATCAACAACAGTAGACATGGCATTTGGCATTGGTATTCTGCCACTACCGCAACCACTAGAACTAAAACAACCGCGACGACGAATAAGACTGGGGCTACGACTGCAGCTCCGATTGGACAGCGAGTGCGACTGCAACCGCGACTGCAACTAATTACGACCACCACGAATGAACTGTTACGAGCGCTGTTCCGACCGAACATTGCGGTCATGTCCACTGCTGCAAAGCAGCCTTATGCAGATCTTACAAGAACCGTGTTTGTTACTCCGCTTCTTCTCATGTACAGGGTTCAAGAAAATCTAGGCAGAGGATCCCTCTTTTGTTTTTTCGGGTGGGCTAAGCGTACAACTGCTTTTGCAGGTCCTGCTATTGCAATTGTTCGGGCAGTCATGTCTGCCATGTGTATTGAACCCAGCATGCATGCCGCCACCGACACTTCGGCAAACAGCATCCTCAACATGATGTCTTTGGTAGCACTGCTTTGAAAATTGCTGCTACGAGCTCAGGCAATACCCGAAACTCTGGATCTTATAAACCTTAACCCCCTAAACCCTAAACCCCTAAGCCCCTGATCTCCTAAACTCAAAACGGTCCAAAAGCCCTCAACCCTAAGACCCTGGAACCCCTTTCTGAAGCTTATTTTACAGGAACCTTAGAAGCCTCGCCCTTGAAAGCGTGGCAGGGGCGACTGCACGAACCGCGACTTCTGGACACGGCCAGAGAGGCCCAGCTCTTCCGACCAGGCCTGGGCCATGGCTTTCTTAAGGGGTTTAAGCGGGGTTCCTTTAAGGGATCCTCTAAGGATTCCTTTAAGGGATCCTTTACGGGGTCCTTTAAGGGTTCCGCTAAGAGATCCTTTAAGGGATCCGTTAACAAATCCTTAAAGTGGCTCCTTTAAGGGTTTAGGGGTTTCGGGAGAATTGCTGGGTTGTAAAAGGTTTGGGGTTTAGGGCTTGGTGTGAGTTTTATTGAAGGGGCGGGGATTAAACGGACCCTCATTGAAGCAGCCCCTTGTTGAACAGTGGCAGGAACCTTCATACAAAGAAAGCCGAAGAGGGCCGCGAAACCCTAAGCCTTACATGCGAACATCCTGGTTTCTAGTGTTAGGGTTTAGGGTTGAGAGTAAGTCGCTTACTTGAGATGGGACTGTTGTGGCTGGTATTGCTACTCTTGAACCTGTAAAAACTGCTTATGTATACACGCCACAACAGTCCTTTCTGTTAGGGTTTAGGGGTTTAGGGTTTAGGGTTTAGGGGGCTTCTAGTGCGTCAAGGACCGGGCCTAAATCCTATACTGCCTACACTACTCGAATTCGGCGCCTAATGCCCTGTGTTGCCAGCGACCTATAAAACTTTACGCAAAACCGCAAAACCCGTCAAACCGCAAGCAAGAACCCTGAACCCTACCTGTACCCTGAGAAGCCTAACTAACTAATCAGACACTGAGGGGACAGTATTGCTTAATCTAATGTATTTGTAATATCCGTATATTCAGTGGCAGTACTACAAAATTTTCGCACCTTCATCTGTTCCGCCCATTCCATATGTAATCCAAGGCGTTCAACAAGCAGCACAAGGATTTGGGGTATATGACAGGACAGTTGGAGCAAGGAACCCGAGAATGGTATCGGTAAGTGGTGAGGCTTCTTATATTGCCCCCACTTGGAGGTTCATGGGCAGTTTTTAAATGGGGTTATAAGAGCAAGCATAGGCTAACCCCACACCTCACATCCTGACCTCCCCCCTATGCTTTGACCCCAATTCTCTAACCACCTAATAAACCGACCTTCCTGATACAACCCAAACCAAAAGCACTACCTACATCCACCACCTTACCACAATCCTGACCCACAAAAACCGAAAGCAAAGGCTAACCCCACACCTCACATCCTATACCCCTCCCTACACTTTTACCTCAATTCTCAACCCGCCTCCCAAAATCAACCTTCCAAAACACTAAAACACAAAGCACCTCCCAATACAAAAGCAATAATCCCAAAACAAAGCAACCCAACAACAAATACAATCATCCAGAACATAACCCAAAACCCAAAGCACCTAAACAAACCCTACCCTCAACCATAAAATAACCCATATCCTAATATGAGGTGTGGGGTAAGACCCTAATAGAAAAATCTCAAAAGCCCATAACCCTGAACTCGGAAATGACGCTTGGCGAAGCCTCGCTAGGCGTGCATTGCTCCCGACCCTTACATAGAATAATAATTACTGTGAAGAATAACTATTATTGTATGTTCCCTTCGTCTTGTTGCTTTTCTCTTCTCATCATATCTACATCTATAATTTCAACAAATAGTTTTCCATTCCTTACATAAGTCGTCATCATACAGTTTTCAATATATGGTATATTGTCGGTGAATGTATTCATAACTTCATTTTGTATCAAATTTAGGTCATTATTAATCTTATTTATTTCCTGTTTGCTTGTATATCCAGATGCTTCTGCCATTAATATGTAAGTCCTCAATTCTTTAAATGTTTTGTAAAATATAGTTTTTGTAAATACAATATTTAATATGCTCTCTCTTGGTCGTCAAATTTAATCTCATAATAGTCTAACGTCTCCTTCTTAGGAAACTTGATATCCTTGTTTTTCAGTTTATTGACATAAACATTTCTCTTATTCTTATACACATCACTATCTTTATCCATTTGTTTATTAACTTGTTTAGGTTTATTGATTAATTCTTCAAGTTGTTCTCAATGAGTTCTTACTTCTCTAAAATCTTGTGAATGCTAATGTGCTTGATTGGTTTTACAACATCATCTACATCGCTCATAAAACTGTATAAAAGTTTTAGATTAAACCTTTTTTAAAGTTTTAAAAACTTTGCCTTTAAAACCATTCATACTGTTTAAACATCTCCTACATAATGTGTTGTATTCTTTGTTTTTGTTAAGACTTTTAAACATTAAATGACTTCTACATATCTGACAATGAGGGCAGTATCTTATATCGTGTATTTCATTTTCATAAAAACACCCATCATTATCAGCAAAAGATACAATGATTTTATCTACATATATGGTCATATAACTAGTTGATTTTATAACAAAAACATCATAAGGTCAAATTACTTAATGCTCTAACCAAACTAATTAAGCATTATCTTATGTAATGCTATTGAATGTTCCAACACTACTTCCCTTTCCTGCGCCCATCCAATTTGAAACAAGAAGAAGGGGGTTCTCTCTTCTCTTACTGTCATTATACATCATAATGTAATCCTTAAATGCTAATCCATCATATTCACATTGTTTTTTAAATTTTGTATATCTGTTTTAACTTCTTTCATATCGCCCTTCAATTCTTCTAATTGTTCCTCTGTCTCTTATGGTGTTATTTGTTTTCCTGTTCTCCCCCATCCTGTATCGCAAATAGCAATGCTTCCTGTCTGGTCTGGATTGAAAATTTCGTTTGATGGTGTAATTCCCTCACCTACTCTAAAACTGCTCCTATCTTCAAGGATGATGATAGTTTGTTTGTTTTCTTCTTTTGTAGCAGTCGTGGTCTTATGATATAGATTTCTTTTACATCTACAAGGGAAACAGTTTAAACTTGTTGGAGTAAGACTAAACCCGCCTTCTTCTTCTTTCTTGTTATCCATTTACATTACTTAGATTTTTTAATTTTCCTGAAATAACAAACAATTAATTTCAAGAACTCTAATGAATTATAACAACATCTACGATATTTAGGGACTGTTATTATTGTATCTAACTTTTCCAACTCACCTATAACTTCTATATAATTTTCATAATCGCCCATATATTAATAACGATATAAAAATTCTATGTATTAATCATGAATAGTCCTATAGTTAAACCCATAAATGTTATAGAATATGATTTTGAACAATCCAAATATGAAGTAGCGCCTAAATTACCTTTTAGTCAAGCAATAACAGGGCCTTCAGGTTCTGGCAAAGGTATATTACTACAATCAATGATATTAGACATTTACAGAGATGTCTTTGAAAGAATATATGTATTTAGCCCTTCAGTATCAGTTGATAGTAATTGGTTGCCGGTTAAAACATACATTCAGGATAATTTGAAGGTGGATTTAGAAAAAGGAAAACGCTTCTTTGATGAGTATAACCCAGAGGAATCAAAACAGATGATAAAAGACAGCATAAAGTTATAGAATATCAGAAGAAGAACGACCATAAACAGTCATTTTCTATTCTTATAATTGTTGATGACTTTGCGGAGGGTAAAGCATTTTCAAGAAATAGTCCATTACTAAATCAGTTGTATGTAAGGGGGCGACTTAATGCAATTAACATTATAGCATCCACGCACAAATTCAATGCGCTAAGTCCTATTATTCGGGTTAATAGTCGTCAATTGTTTTTCTTTAGGTTAAGAAACTATAAAAAATAGAAACAATGGTGGAGGAATTAAGCGCAGTATTAACTAAGAAATCAACCGTAGCAGATGCCAAAAAGCTTGCCGAAGCAAAGAAACTTTTCTTAGAAGTATGTAACATAGCAACAGAAGAACCATACAGTTGTTTTTTGACAAATTTCATGAAACCTGATGTTAATGATATGTTTTACAAACGCTTTGATGCTAAATTAGTCATTGATTAATAATCTTGTCTTATCATAATATTATTGATCTAAATTAATGAATACGAACACAAACAGATAGCAGGTAGTTTATATACTAATCTATCACGTTTAGTTTCTTCTAAGTTTTCAATTCTTTCTATACAGTTTTTCAAAGTATTAAATAATAAATATCTGTTTTAGTTTTTCATTAATATCTAATTCTTTTATCTGTTGCATATTTTCACTGGCACAAGATTTAGATTGTTTCAAACCCATATATACTAATGTTTAGATAAATATGTTAATCACTATCGCTTTTTCCTTTCTCTTTAATTTCTTTATTTCTTTCTCTAGTTTATCAAGTCTTTTCAAGGCATTCTGTGAAGCACTCCATAAAATGGGCGTTGTCTTGCCATAGACCATTCGTAAATATTCATCTTTACCTTCGAAAACTATATTATCCCATTCTTCGGGCACTTTCTTCGTTCTGAAATCCTCAGCAATATAACCGACGCACTTTTGTGTCTGTCCTATGTAATTGTATGTTTTAGGTTTAATATACTTGACTAAATCGATACATTTTTTAAACATCTATTTCCTTTCTATTTTCTTTTAGTCTCTTATCTGATGTTTCTGTGGAAGCACCATTAACGTGTAATCCCGCGCTTGATACTTTCACATATATTAGCACCGTTGATACTTATACATATTAATCCGTCCGCATCGTTATTATCTATCTTTACGCGCTCACTTGTTGAAACAGTTGAATGTGTAATGTCCAAGTGTCCAAATAAATTAACATTAGACTTGGTTAATTTAATTAACTTGCGGTGTGCTTCCTATTGTTCCAACTATTAAATTAATTGCTCTATCAGTGTCTCCATTTCTTATATCTAAATCATAAGCACTGCCATTTTCCGTTTCCTTTATGCCTGATGAATGTTGAAATAATGTTTCTCCCCATACATTCAAATTCGCTTCTGCTGTTGTGTTGCCAATTACATTTAGTGTTTGATTTACTGTTGTGGCTCTATTCATTGTTATTGATGCTGGGTTGTCATTTAACTGAAGAGCGATACTTGAAGTTGAAGGGTCAGCGCCTCTATCTGACTGTAATGGAAAACTAATCTCTTTTTCACCAGTAATATTAAATGAATTATTAGCGTCTGCTCGTTGAAATAACTTAAATTTAATGCCTATGAACTCTGACCCGGCCACCGATAGATTTTGATTAACTATGACTTCTTGAAACTGACTTGTTCCGCCAACTGTTAAATAATATCCTATGACGCAATTAGCACCAATACCAACTCTACAACTGCTTGTGCTTCCTATCCTTACTCTATTATCTCCGTTCGGCGTGTCTTGTAATACCATTTCACTACCAAAACTGTCAGGGTCAGAAGGATTTAAACAATCAGGGTTTCGGGTTCAATCCTGAAGCCTTCTTGCCACCCGAAACCCAGAACCCACAAGGTCTGCAGCACCCGGGCTTCCGGCTCTCGCGTCGTCCTCAGAAGTCGCCCCGGCTGCGAGGTCGTTGACGCTCCGGAGGTCTTTGTCCTTCGCCTGTGAAGGTTCGGGGTCGGGCGGGCCAGGGTCAATAGAAGGGCCTTGATAATTAGAGTAGGGTTTTGAGGCCCATTATACTATAGTTATAATGAGGAACCCCCAAAAGAGTGTAGGTAATTCTTAAGGCCGCTACAGTAAGGGCTTTAGGGTTTAGGGTATAGGTTTCTAGGGTATGGGGTTTAATTAGGGGTTTTAGGGAGTTTAGGGTCTAGGGTCTCGGGGGCTTCAGGGTATAGAGGTGTGTAGAAGCTAGGGGGTTTAAGGTACGGCCTAAAGTATGTAGCTGGGTTCTTGTTAAGGAGCTTAATTTAAGTTACCATAATAAGGAAACCCTATTATTTACGATAGATCCCTATTATGGTAACTTAAATTAAGATCCTTAACAAGAACCCAGTTAGGCTAAGGTTGAGGGCTGTAGGTAAAGAGGATAGGGCTTCGCCTATGGCGCTGAGGGCTTCCGGATTGACTTGGCAAGGTTGGAGGCAAAGAGCAACAGGGATGAAGCGACTCGACACGTGCTGGCGTCCACGATCGGGTCTAAACGCCAACCTTCTAAAACCTAAATCCTGAACCTACCATCCCACATCCCAAACCTCAAACCCACAATCCTTGACCTGCCCTACTGCCATCACCGCTTCTGTTTATGCTGCTTTGGTGCAAGAGGTCGTGGTTGTTCTGATTCTGACGGAGGCCGTGAAACTGATCTCGGCGGTCGTCATTGCTGCCAGCATGGTTTTACTATGACGGTCGCCGCTGCCGGTTCCTGCGGCCAAGTGATTGGATGCAAACGAAGCGTCTTGCTGATGCGACATCCACCCTAAAACCCCTGGAAGAGCGACGAAAATAGTAGACCCAAAGCGAAGTCTGCACTCATCAAGGCCTCAACTGGCGTAGAGTTCTTAGGGGTAGATTGATCTGAACCGCCGAGAGTTACATTGGGAATTGGGACCTCTATATTCTCTATATTCCTTCCCATGCAGAACTCTACCTGAACCTTGTGCTTCCTCCGTAAGCCGATAATCACAGCCGTCGACCCATAAATCCCCAAACCCTACAATGCCCTAAACCCTCAAGCTCTTGTCTTCTCAGTTCTTGATCCTCTCCTCTGGAATTGAAGATTTCCGTTCAGCCTTCGATCTCCTCTAATGGATTTTCCCTGCCCTAAAACCCTGACCCCTGAATTCCCCAAATTCTACAACCTCAAGTGCAAAACATCGCGCATCGCTGGGCGAATTGCGCACAAACCCTACAGCCACCTCGATCGTGTCAAGCTGCTCTTCTTGGAAGCCCTTGCTGAGAAACAGGGCCTCATCGTCTTCAGTATGTTGCTGAAGGTGGTGATGATGGAAATGAAAATGTGAAAATGCCACAGGATAACATTGGTGCTGTTCATGATGATGACAGTGATGATGATGCTGAGGATGATGACCATTTTGGTGTGATGATGGTGACGCCGAAGATGATACACTCAGACTTATGTACTAACATGTTTCAAGTTCTCTTCCTGGGACTTACGTTCGCTTTGGCAACCTGGTCCAGGGCAAGGGGTTATGTGTACAGGCTGTTAGAACTACTACATATGACAAAGCATCATTCAATACCAGTTGATACAAAAGCATTAGTTAAAGATACTTGACGAACCTTCTTCGCGAGAGGCAGTGGCTCGATACAACTGTTGCTGTTGCCCCAACGTTTGTTGGTGTCGGTATTTTTTGTGGTTTAGGTGTAGGGGTTTAGGTTCCTTTGGCAACCTGTCTTTGATGCTAGTGACTGTGCATTGTATGCTGACTTGGAGATTCAACTGGCTTCAACTGCTTCTACAATGCGTGGCAAGGGCCCACGTCTAAACACCTCCAGACCTCCAACAGAAGAACGTGCGGTCAAAAATCGCAACTCGATGCCCGAATCTTGCAGCACCGTGCTATCGCTTGCAAAACCGATCATATACCGCGAAACCAAGATGCCGGAACATTTCACACGTGTCGTGTGCGACAGCGAGCCGTAAACAGAAGCGCACCACATAAACTTGCTTGGCAACAATCTCGACCTCCTACTCGAAGTGCATTTTCGGAAAGAGAATCGCACACACAGGCAGCGCCAAAATCGCTTGGACATGATGATCATGAGTGTGCCAATGATGTTGGCGAAAGGTAAGTGGAGTCTCCTCCTCCTCCCTCATCGTCAACACCATTGGCATCATCATCTTCATCGGGAGAGTAAGCGTACTAGTTGACCACACAAACTCGGTAACGTGCACGTCTCTGAGTTCACAGCTCGGAGGAAGCCATCCATTGCGGAGGGTGGGAATAAAATGCTATCCAAAGTGCTGCACACTGCCTGAAGCTCGTAAACCCCTGTCATGGAAACCCAGCCCAGACTGTGAGCCTGACTGGAGGATGGCAGTGTGCGGGATACACTTGGAAAGGAGCCCAATGCCTTACCCCCTACACCCCACTTTAATTAACCCGGAATAACCTACCGTTTTCAGGACTGAAATAAGCAAATGATAATAAGGAGCCCTAAAAAGGTAGGTTATTCAGGGTTAAGGCAAGCCGTAAACCAGGGGATACCTGGATCCAGCATCCTCTACGGCAGCATGCTAGTGACTCTAGTCTGGCATGGGGGGCTGCGAAGCATAGACATGAAACATCCGACCGAAGACAACTAAGCCGAACAAGCGTTCTTCCCGGCCGTCATTATCACTATGACTGTTGTTATGACCAGTCATTACTCAGTAATACACTTACTGATATCATTAAAATTACGATTCGCACTTAGCTACTACGACTACGTCTGCGCTACAACTTTCACGACTACGAGTATAATGGCTCTTACTGATGCTACTACCATTATCGTTATCATTCTGAATGGTCCTCCCTCAGATTTCGTCACCCTTTTCATGAGCATTGGGAAAACCCTAAAACCGTAAACCCTAAAGCCCTAAACCCTAAACCCTAAAGCCCTAAACCCTAAAACCCTAAACCCTAAAGCCCTAAACCCTAAATCCGAAAGCCCTAAACACTACAGCCCTAAACCCTAAAACCTTAAACCGTGTTCATGGTCATGGGGCTGCAAGAGCCCCTCTAAGCTTGGGCCAAAAATTTAAAGTGACGCGGCGCCGTACTGAGTTCCCAGCCTTTCGGGAACAAGGGGTAGGGCGTAGGGGTTTGGGTGTTTTTTGTTAGGGGTTTAGGGTTTGGGCTTAGGCTTTCAGGCTCAGGGTTTCGGGTTTGGGGTGGATTCCGGGCCTAGGGCCTACAGTAGGGATGCCAACTAACTTGATCAAGCGAGTACCGGGCAGGGGGCTCGAGTTTGTAACAGCCACGGCCGCCAGCATGGAAGGACAGAGTTACACCTGCTTTGCCCAGGAGCGCAAAGCAAAAAAATGGAAACTTGGCCTCCATCGTCTAAGGTGGCATCGTACTCGGACATGTCACCAGCTATCCTCAGGAGAGGAAACCATGGAGCTGTGTATGTACACTGATATATGTCGCAGTGGCCCTTGCTGTTCGGAACTTGTACTTCGGATGGAAGCTTATGTTTGCAGCACGATGCTGGGTATGCGCTACGTGACTCCATAGAGACAGAGCCTCTTTGGACAGCCCTGGGCCCTAAGCCGGGAAGCCTCCTACCCGATACTCAACCACCAAAGCCCGCCGAAATCCAACCATCAACTATGGGAGTTTCCGAAACTAGTGGTACCTTATTTGGGGGTCCTTATAATAAGGATCCTACTATTTAGGGTACTATTTGGGGGCCCCATCAACACCCACCTCAGAACACTGAAGCACTAGACGCCTACCCCAAAAAAACCCAAGACCCCCCTAAACCCTGAACCTCAACACCTCCCTAACCTCGGACCCTAAACCCCAAGACCCCCCTTAACCCTGAACCCTGGCCCTAAACCCCAAGACCCGCCCTAAACCCTTAAAGGGAACTCCAGAAAGTTGGAATATGGATTATTGGTAGGATCCCCTATAATTGACCTTAAAGGGGTTACGATAATGATATTCCAACTTTCTGGCTTCTCCTGTACTTATGAACCCACTTATAACCCTAAACCCTAAACCCAAGACCCGCCCTAAACCCTCAACCCTTAAGCACCAGAAGCCTACCCTAGAGACATTGAAAACTCCCAAGACACCCCTACACCCTAAACCCCGGGACCCCCTAAACCCTGAACCCTTTTGAAAGGATTCGCTCCAAACTCCGGGGGCTCGACGGGTCGTAGTTCTCGAAGCCGGCCCAGCCGGGTATCTAAGTGAGTCAGATCTAAGGCTTTAGGGCTGTAGGGGTTTAGGGTTCTAGGGGTTTCTTTAAAAGGATCTAGGGCTTTAGGGGTTAAAGGCTTTGGGTGTTTGGGGTCTAAGTGAGTCAGATCTACTTGGAGGCTCATGGGTAGTTATAGGGGTTCCTTTAAGGGCCCCTTTAAAGGGATCTATAGGGATACTATAGGGGTATAGGGTTTAGGATTCTACTTGGAGGTTCATGGGTAGTTATAAGTGGGTTTATAAGTAAGGTAACTATAGTTATAAGCCCTACTAGGGGACTTATAACCCTACTTCTAACTACCCATGAACCTCCAAGTAGGGCTTTTGGGCTGCAGGGGTTTAGGGTTTTATGGGTTTCTTTAAAACGGATCTAGGGCTGCGGGGGTTTAGGGTTTTATGGGTTTTTATGAGTTTCTTTAAAGGATCGAGGGCTTTAGGGGTTTAAGGCATTTCAGGCTTGAGAGCTTTAGGGGTTTAGGGCTTCAGAGCTGTGGGGCTTCAGGGCTTAGGGGATTCAGGGCTTTAGGGATTTAGGAGTTCGGGGCTTTAAGTCTTTAAGGTTTAGAAGTTTAACGGTTTAGGGCTTCATGCTCCCGGATACCCTTCGAGGGCTCAACTTTGCTGTTGTTTTTTCTTGCTATCCTTGTTCCCTGAAGTATACTGAACTTAGAACCCTAGCAAAAATTTTGATTTTAGCTGTTTCTTAGGGGTTATAATAACCAAAATTAAAAAAACATGTCTAAATACCCCTGAGATCCTTGCTCCCACCCTTGAAGCCGCTACTGGCCAGATGATGAATCCAGGAACATATTTTAAGAAAACCTGGGCCTATAAATCCAAAATAGTAAGATTCATATAAGGAACCCTAATAAAGGCCCAAGGTTGCTTAATCAGGTTCCTACATTTGGGTTCAGGGTTGAGGCCAAGACCCCTCAACTACAGGCTTCGAGCCTAAGAATAGTGGGGGATTTGGAGCTACAGGCAAAGCCCTTAAAGCCCCAAGCCCGGACCTCACTTGGCCGCGCACCTCCAGCTTATACTTCTCCAGGATCTCGTGCACCTCGGGCTCATGAAAACTATCAGCCCTACATCTTTATATAGGCCTCCGAAAATGGGGGGTACTATAAGGGGTTCTAGGGTTTAGAAAGGGTCCTAAGGGTAGCACAGAGGGCTTGGGCCCCAAAACCCAAGCAGGGAATCTGCTCGAGGCCCAAGGTTAGATCGCTACCGTCGGAATTTTGAGATTTGGGGTTTAAGGTGCTAGGCGACGGGTTGTTAGACTTAGAGCGTCTGTTTGAAGTGTGCAGGGTTCAAGGGAAATTGCCCCTCAGGGTGGGTGAGGGTCTGTTAGGGAACGAAACCTCGAAATGGGACCCTAGTCTCTGACTTGAAGCAACCAGCTCTACACATAAACACATAAACTACCCTAAACCCTAAACTTTAAACCCTAAACCCTAAACTTTAAACCCTTCAATGTCCGACACCCCAACTTGAGAGCCGACACCCTCAACACTCATAACCCAAGCTTTAAAACAACATCACAACCCTTGGACCCTAAGAAGCTGTCCCTGTAACGGTTCCTCAAAGGATTCCTGTAAGAGTTCTAAAGGGCCTCTCAAGATTCCCCAAACCCACTTGTCCAGTATCCTTGCGAAGTGAAGGTTAACCGTTAACCTTTGGGAGTATATTGGGATTATAAATTTCAGAGTATATAAGGGTTATAGTGCCCCAAAATGGTTACAGGTTACCTTCTCTACCACCAGGAAAACCCCGAGACCCAAATAAAACCTAAACCCTACGCCCTAAACCCTAAGCCCCAACCCTAAACCCCACCGCAGACAGGATCCCTAGAGTCTGTTCCAGGACCCAGGCCTTTGGGCGCGTGGCGACCAACTCTTCTAGCAGCGGCGTGAGCCTTTGTAAATTCAAATGCGCAGGGCTAAGGTTCCTTTTAAAGAAGTCTATAAGGGATCTATTGTAGGGTTCTAAGGTATAGAGGCCTGAATAATTAGAATAGGGTTCCTTGAAAGGGGTCTGTAAGGGCTACTATAAGGGATCCATAAGTCTATAAGTGTACTCCGGGGTATGGGGGCTCTGCAAGATATGGAGCTCAGGCTCTGGGTTTTGGGGATGTATTAGGTACGGCCCCCACTCAGTAATAGTTGAGTAATATTCATAATATAGATATATTACGACCTTAATAGTAGCCCTATATAATAGACTCTTACTGTAAGGGGGCCGTACCTAAGGGATAGATGGTTTTCGGGTTTGGGGGTCACGGCTCAGGCTTTCTGGTAGAGGCTACAGGCTTGGGGGTCAGGGGTTCGCGCTTTCGGGGGGTGATAGCATGCACAACAAACTGCAGTAAAGGGATAACATGCGTGATGAGACAGACACAGTGACAACGTCCAGAGAGGATCACGCAACCATGAATCACAACAGCAACTCGACGTGCATGCGCAAGAACTAGAACCACCGTTAGTATTGGAACCCTCAACCCCTGGGACACTTCCGGCAAGAAGAACCCAGGCCATCTCCCAGAGGGCCAGGCGCGAACAGTGCAGTGTCGTTGGGGTCGTCGTACCTGGCGTGCTCTTTCTGCAGATGTAGGTTCAGGGTTTAAGGTTTAGGTTGCCGTAATTATTCGAACAGCTGAAACATGTACATTACAGACAGCTTAGGACATTTAACGTACCGGAGGATTGTGTCCATCAACAACGCATGGGGTCCCAGGTTTACAGGCCGTCGGGCGCGCGTGTTGCACGAGTCCGGCGAAAATCGCATTGCTTGCTGCATCTTCAATGTACTCCAGACGTGCCATGCTATCCTGGACGGAGACGGACCCTGAACCCTAAACCCCGGTTGTTTCAGCAGGGATTCTCGGAACTTGACATCTAATACATGAGCCTGATTTTTTAGAATAAAGTTTGGGGGCCCATTATACTATACCTGTACTAAGGAATCTCTCATAGTAAAAGAGGTACTTCTCAGGGCCCCTATAATATAGTATAGTCTCCTTCT